TTCGCAATCACCTGCGACGAGCATCTCCTGCGCGAACTGGGCGCCCTCGTGAAACAGAACCCGGGCATCCCCGTGCAAACGCACTTCAACGAGTCCCACGGTGAAGTCAACTTCACCCGCGACCTCTTCCCGCAGTTCAAGAACGAAACCGAACTGTATGATAGCTACGGCCTCCTCACCAACCGCACGATCCTCGCCCACGCCATCTACCCCCAGCCCGAGGAGCTGCCCCGGCTCAAGGAGCTGGACTGCGGCGTCGCGCACTGCCCCATCCCCAACACCACCATGGATGAGTTCATGATCGCGCCGGTGCGCGAGTATCTCTCGCGCGGGATCAAGGTCGGCCTGGGCACGGACTGCGGCGGCGGGTACTCGTCGTCGATGCTGGATGTGATGCGCGCGGCGTTTATGGTGTCGGTTGCGAAGCAGACGGAGACCGGGGGCAGGGATGCGCCGCTGAGTATCGCCGAGAGCTTTTATCTGGCGACACTGGGGGGCGCCAGGGTTGCTGGGTTGGAGGATCGGGTGGGGCGGTTTGCGCCCGGACTGGAGTTTGATGCGTGTCTTGTCCGGACGGGCATCGCCGAAGGTGTTATGGCGCCGGTGGAGGAGGCGGATGGCCTCGAGGGTGGTTTCGAGAAGTTTCTTATGACGGGCGATGATCGGAATATTGTTAGGGTTTGGGTGCAGGGCAGAGAGGTGAAGGTGGCTGTTTAGACGGTTCTTTTCTTTTTTTTTTTTTTTCTTTCTTTGCTTTTGTTGTGTAATTCTTCGTTGGTAGGTTGGCTCTGTACTGGGGTGGTTTAGGGTGTATCACGGTTAGGTTCTGTGTTGAGTTCTGAGAGAAATGGTTGTCTGTCTAATTCGGCTCTGTAGTCTCTCTTTGCGGGAATGGGACAAGTCGAATTCTGATAGCTACCCATCGTTAGGTATCTGTCGATTGGATTCACGACTTAGTCAATGTATTGTCTCTCTTCATAGGATATTTGCATTATGGATATGCTATTGAGAGGAACCAGAGCCTATCGATAATCATGCTGATACATATATATATATATCTATGTCGGGATCGGGATACGAACTTTCCAATTCTCATCAACTGTCAACAACCGTTCATATGGAACTGTAAAGGGTCCATGAAGTATTATGTTTCGTCTAAATAATTACAATTAAGTGGCACCGTATGCTATGCTTAGACCACGCCAGCCCGAAAATATAAACGCCACACACAAAACCCATATCCAACAAAGCTTAAAGGTATCCAGCGTATAGAAAAGGGGTATTGCTGGCCTGTATGGAGAAGATGAATGCGCCGACCAAAAAATATCAGAAAACAGTTATTCCCATGTTCCTTTGCCAGGACCGAAGTATCCTGATTCCGGTAGCGCCTTCCACGGTGTGCCTTTACCGTCCGCAGTGCGCGCGGATACGGTATTGCCCCACCAGTGTAGCGGACCAGCTGGAAGGGTGATGCAGAAGAAGATGATGACGGTGGCCACGGCCACAGCGCAGTCAAGTGCTGCTGAAAGAACGTAATCTAGACTATGTTAGAACGACGCAGTGGTGTACTCGTGGGAGAGACAACTTACTGTATTTAGCCCACCAGGCCGGCCTGCGTCGTTTAATCAAGCCATTGAAGATAAGATTGACAATCCACCAGGATGAAAAGCTGATCCCTGTGGCCGGTGGGACAAGGCTCATGGCACCAAAAGCTACCGGCCAGGAGATGTAGTTGGCTTGCTTCCAGCGCCGACCAATGAGATATGTGACAAGAACGACCAGGGGCCCAGCCAAGAAGAACCAGAGGAGATGGCCGTAGATTTGACCGGGAGAAAAGTTTCGTCCGGGACCGAGGGCTCCTACATATTGTTAATCAAGTTCATTTCACGCGTGATGGCGAATGCCTACCCCAGATTAACGAGGATGAGTACGTGACTCTACCATGGGGACAAGTGAATCCGCCATTGGCATTGGGCGTGCAGATACCGTCAATTCGAGTGATCATGAACACCGTGACGCCACACTGGACGATGGCCCCAATCAGAGTCGCCAATCCCTGGGCTAAGAATAAGGTTCGGGGAGCGATGTGAAGATAGTGAGCTAATTTCATGTCCGCCACGAATCTGTTCGGTTAGGTGCGCTCAGATTCCAGGGGTGAAACGGGATGGCTTACTCTAGTCCTTGAGACACTGCCACATATCCATAAAACTTGAATGCCATGTTGGCAACGGGGCGTCCGAGGAAGGCGTAACCGCCAATAAACTCCGTGATAAGGTTTAGCTGGTTGCTGGTAATGTTCGTCACCGCCTTTATGATGCCAACGGGGATAAAGTAGATCATCGGCAGCACAAAGGCCAGCAATACCGCCCACGCGGGAAGACCCGTATGCCAAACCTCGTTGGTCACAATGCTCAGCACAAACATTAGGATGGTTACAGCTGCAAACCACCACCAAGGAACATCTTTGTAAGAGGCCATGAGCCGTGAATGAACATCCTTCTGATCCCGTCCTTTCCATTGCTCCCACAGGTCCGTCCCGTGGTACAGGGCTATGTGAACGAAGATGCCCGTGAGATTGGCAAATGCTACGCCGTAGGTCACTGCGTAGCCCGCTGGAAGAAACATGGGCGAGTACTCGCGGTACGCCTCCACGTTGACTGTGCCGTCATGGTTCATCACACGGCTGGTGTTGTAAGGTTTACCTGTATTGTCGAAGGTGTTGGGATTCAACATCGGTAGATAAGCCGAATACCACGTATTGGTGTAATACAGAATGGGGCAAATTAACCAGAAGAACAAGGCAAATGATCCAATCACGTTAAGCCCTGCCCAGAAAGGGACCAGTAGCGGGCTTTGGTTCGCATAGACGACCTGAGCCCAATCAAAGGTTAGAATTGACATGCCCAGCCCTGTCGTCTGGCCAAAGAGCTGATTGACAACAACATTTGTCGGTACGATCCAGCAGATAAAGTTAAACGTGCTAAGACCGGTGAAAAGGTAGCCTGGAGCAAAATACCAGATTGCCCCGCCGGCGAAAACAAAGATGAAGAAACGGAGGCGCGTTATCGACCAGCCATCCGCGACGGCGTTGGCGCGCGAGTGTAAGGTGGATAGTAGCGCAGCATTCGACAAAACCTGCGGCCAAATCATTGTCGCCGGTCCCACGAGCCAGCGCGAAGCCATGCCTGCCAAGCCAAAGCCGAACAGTTGTGTGGTGATACACAGTAGAATCTCGAACCCCCCTTGCGAAGGCATGTTATAGAACTTCACCATCGCCTCAATTATCTGCGTCGCAGCGGCCGATCCGAAGGAGACATTGGCCATGATGGTGATCAAAGCATGCTCCTTGATGTTGAAGTGGCGGTCCGGATTGAGCCACCCCAATGGCAGCCATTTTGCCCAGGCACAGCCAACGGGAAATGCGACCAGCTGTGCAACCAACGCGCTGATGGTTACACTGGGCTGCCTCAGACTAAAGAACTGATTCAATCCACTCCCCACCTAAGGCTAGGTCAGCGTTACACGCTCCGCAACACAGCTGTTCCGCCCTTGACGTACAATCGTAAATACCACCCCAATCGTCCACATCCGAACCGTGTTAACCGGCAGATGTACATCGTCCACCGGTCGAACGACCGCCCGAACCTCTGGGAAGGGAGAATCATCGGCATTGTAAGGGAGGATCTCGGCGGCATCGCGGTCGCTTAGAATGCTGTAGTTGCTCCCATCGATCTCCAACGACGGTTCCTAGCGACGATCATTAGATAAAAGAACTGACGGTCAGAGTATGGAGGAAGTGATTGGCCCAATATCTGCAGGGCAGACGGTGTGCGCCACGTGGAAAGCGAAGGATGGTCAGTGGGCGAGCTAAGTCAGTCTAACCCACCTGTAAGAACTCCTTTTGCTGGGGCTTTTCGTCCCGGTGCGGGATGTCCGCCATAATACGAAGGACGTATTATGCTGGTAAGCAGATTTAAAGTAGGGTTGTTCGCGCTGGGTCCAGTCAATGAAGGTCCAGGATCTTGTCTAACAGTCTAACAGGGGGGGTTGAATGAAGGTGGAGTGGACTTCGCCCTCGATGCGGTTTAGTGGCTCTCGTGACAGGCGAGCCCACGCGAATCTTTTATTAAATTTTATTATTCCTCTACCCGGTTGAGTAATAAACTCTCGCTCTGAGCCGTGAGGATCAGGTATCAATACTAACGTGTCCGGTAACGGCCCATACGACAAATACAGATCGGACAACCCCTGGCCTCGTCATCCCCGAAAAAAGGCGATGGTTTGAGAAAGGAGGAGATCTTTGCTACCCGAGTGGAGAGGATCCACCTGGAATTCGTTATCGAATTTTTCTGGTTTTCTTTCTGATTCCCCTTCTATGTCGTTGGGTGACTTCTTATAGGTACTGAATGCAAGTTAAATAATCCGGTGAAGTATTCCCTCACCGTCATCGGTCTAGCTTTCTACATTGAGTTTAGTCGACGACGATGAAATGTTTGTCAGAATACATGTGCATCGGAGGAATCGATGGTCGACCGCCTTGGGTATGGCTGGGCGGTTCAGTCCGTCTTTTTCCTCATCGAATATTCGCCGAAGGTTCCATAGTGCGTCGGGACGAACCGCCTACAGTCATGCCACGATAGAAATCAGCCTGTGAGCTTTGATAATGCCACAAGATGACGAGTCCCTTGTAAACCCTTTTCGCTCTTGGGACACAATATCACCCTGATATTATTGGCGAACATTGAGCGTGAAACTTCTCTATCTGGCGTAGACGTTGTTTGTCGGGTGGTTCTCCCTCGCCGCTCCCAGCGGGTACAGCCGACCATCGGATCTGAGCGCTTCTATCCGACTCCAGCAAACCATTCGAGAACGACACCCCAAACTGATCATCGCTAGAGATGGCTGTTCCATCGGTTCCTTATAAGAGAAAGATGGTGGCGCTCGTAGAATGATAAGAGCAATGAATATCTTGGTCCCTTGAGGGCTTCACATCCAGCTACCCCACGATTTATATGTCGACATATCTATCCTTCAACTTCGCCTCTTAAGATTCTCCTAAACTTCATCCACCATAAGTCTTAACCCCCTGGAGACCTTAGTGTAGGTGGTCTACGCCATTGTACACCAAGGAAGGCAAATCCGCCGGTACGCACTGAATCTCTTCACTGACAATATGGGGGATCTTGGCCACCCCGTCGATATCTCCGATGTGCCTTTCGCACAACGCCCCATCATCATCTTGGGTGCCGGAATTATTGGATGTGCTGCCGCAAGACAACTTCTCCTCAATGGATTCCCCGTAGTCTTGGTAGCGGAGTATCTTCCCGGAGACCAGAGTATCTTTTATGCGTCTGCTTGGGCCGGAGCAGCATGGCATGCGGCTGGAGGCATTAGCCCTGAATACCGATACTTTCAAGCGATCACCCATCGACATCTGCTAAAGATGGCGCAGGAAGACCCTGAGTCAGGGGTTTGTATTGTGGACACACGCGAGTATCTTGAAGACCCCCCAACCGAAAATTCTGCGATCTGGGGGAAGACTGTCGTATCGAAGGTGAGGCGGCTATGTCGTTTCACAGGGGGGACGTTACATTGCTGACAGTGGAGATAGTTTCGTGACCTAGAACCCGGTGAATACCCCCCTAATTTCTCCTGTGGGTGGGCATACGATACCCTCGTCACCGACCCAACACGCCATATGCCATACCTGGGAAAACAAATCAAGGCGCTCGGCGGTCAGTTCATTCGGAAACGGGTCGAATCTCTTCAGGAGCTGTACACAATGTTTCCCGAATCGAGCATCTTCATCAATGCAAGTGGTATAGGGAGCAAAACGTTGAGTGATGTCCAGGATGAAAAGTGTTTTCCTGAACGTGGACAAAACGTGTTTTTGCGCACCGACAATTGTCAGACCATGTACTTCCGAAACGGCAAGGAATATACTTATGTCATTCCCCGGCCATTGTCGAAAGGTGTCGTGCTGGGTGGAGTAAAGCAAAGCGACAACTTGTAAGTTTGTTCATCGCCTTGTGGTACAACATTTTCGCCCAGAGACTGACTGATAAATAGGTCTCCCGAAGTGGATATGGAGATAGCCCGAGATGAGATTGCACGCGCCCATCGTCTTGCTCCCGAAATAGTTCCGGAATATCCCCCCGAAGATGCGCTCGATCACATCATTGGCATCCGCCCGTCCAGGAAAGGCGGTTTCCGCCTTGAATCCGAAAAAGTGGGAAACCGGATTGTTCTATCCGCGTATGGATTCGGTGGGGGTGGATACGCCTTCTCATACGGTGTGGCCGATGCTTTGGCAAAGATGGTGGAAACGGCTGAGCGGGAGAATGTAATTCTGTAGCACGGCTCATTGATTTCTTTTATTGAGTCAGCTGATGCATCTGTGCAGGGGGGCTGTTTCAAACTGGACTGGATGTTACGTTGTTTACATTTTGCTCATTAGCGACAGGATGATGATGATACCAGTATTATCGCAAGTAGTCTGCCAATTTCACAGGCAGCTGATGATAAGTAATGACATTAATTATACAAGATGAGCGTTGTTATTCTTCATCTTTGCTGATTTATTCAGTTTCAATTCCAATTTCTATCCCTCTTTCGCTATGTCGTCTATCATACGGCCACATGGAAACTGTGGCCTCAGGTTGTCGGGTGAACGGGGCCTTCACGAGATAAGGCCTTCTCGGTCAGTGGATACCCATCCTACTATTAGTAACGGTAGGGCCTCACTTCTCCTTTGACGGGCGACATACTTCTAGAAGAACTATGGAAACACAATTGATTTGTGGCCCTGGACTTCATTAGTCACTAGTACCTGTGAATCCGTCTATCCTTTCCGCAAGGGGAAGGACAGCGTCTCTGATTCTTGTTTCAAGATAACCTTCTTTCTGTTCGTCCTATCACGATGCTCGAGGGCATGAAACTCCGGAGTACTATTGATATTGATGAGGCTTTACATGGGTGGATCCCACAGTGAATAAATCTCCAACTATCGAATCGATGACGTCGAAGCATGATTACATAGAGACTGGAAAGTCCATGCCGAAGGGAAAGGATTGATAGTCAATGCCACGAGGTGAGATGAAGACGATCGCCGCCAGACCGCCACGAAGAATAGTTCATTCTACGGGGGGCGAATGAGGGTTTCAGGGGTATCTAAAAATACCATCTTGACGACCACGTTACAATTGGATCTCGAGAGGAGTGACCGTTGTACACGTACTTTTGCTTGTCAGCATTTGAGCGTGGCTGAATAATCGCTTTGGGAAAGAGGGAAAGAGGCCGGTGGGATTCTAGAACCTGAACTAGCGAGGGAGAATCAGTGGTTCCATTCCTTGATTTGGCCCCATCGCATTCTCGCTGGTGGATCCGCGGTTCTGAAGGAAATCAGGAATCGGTTGGACTAAGGTTGGAGGGAATGCAAACATTGGTGGTTTTGGCATGCAAGCAGAAGCAACGTGACTGGATGGTTGGGCGCGTGCCCCGCAAGTCCGGGCTGGTCGGCCGCCCACTAGAGGACGAAAGCGCATGGTCGATCGCCTTCCGTTGACGTCGGTGGTTTGGCCTTTTGCCTTAACTCGGCCTCCCCTAATGAGGAAGATTTTCTCTCTGTTCCAAAGCCAACATGAAGGTTTCAGATCCTGATCGCTTTTCTTTTCCATCCCGATCTGGCTTTCGGCTTTCTTGGGTGAATTTACTGGTATGAACGGGTTTCACGAGGTCGCAACGTTAACCCCAGATCGTGTCGGATCGGGTGAATCAACCCAAACCGCGTGCTAGCTTTCCCTCACCTTGGATATTTTTGCTCGCCCAGTCTTATTCCGCCACGCTTCTTGTGGGAAGCAGGGATGTCTCTCAGAGATCGATTTCTCAATCTCAGCATGCACGATCGCGCCCAAACCGTGAACCTGCCGCTGATCACGACGCCACCAGAAGACAATGATATGGTGTTGAGCGAACTCAAAGGCGACCCGAAGCCATTGCTACGGACGAATGACAACTGCGCCTCAGACGCCGAATATGTCATCCCACAGCAGGATGCCTCGTTATGTCGCATTTATCGCTACACCCCAATCCCGACTATCGTCGTTGACGCGAACCTATCCATAGTGGAAGTGTCCGACAGTCACCTCGCCCTCTCGGGTCAATCCAGGGATACGTTGCTCAATACTTGCATATGTGATATCTCCCCTTCCATAATCCCTGTGCCGGATATTGCATCCTTATATGGTGCGGTACGAGCGGCTATTTCGACGAAAGAAATCCAGTTGATTGAAGATGTTCATCTCCGTGATAAGAAGTCGTACTTTCGACTTCAGGTTACACCAATCTATCAAGGCCGGGCATTGATATATATAATTTTTGAGGCGCATAAGGACACCAGAGACCATTCAGACACCCACGATAAACACCATGCATATGTGAATGAAACGTACAAAATATTGGTGGACACCGTTAAAGACTATGCTATCTTCATGCTGGATACCCGTGGCAACATTACAACTTGGAATCCCGGCGCTGCTATCATGAAGGGATATTGCGCCTCGGAGATCATCGGTAAGCACTTCTCAGTGTTTTACAGTCCCGAAGATCGGCGGAATGATAAACCCGGGAGGGGCCTGGCGGTTTGTTTGCGGGATGGAAGGATGGAGGATGAAGGCTGGCGCTACCGTCAAGATGGTTCTCGATTCTGGGCCAACGTTATGATCACCCCTGTTTACGAGTTTGGCCGTCATGTTGGATTCGTGAAAGTGACGCGTGATCTGACAGAACGGAAGGCGGCTGAGGGGCGTCTGATCGCAGCTTTCGAAGAATCATCAAGACTCAAGACTGACTTCTTGGCTAACATGAGTCATGAGATTCGGACGCCAATGAACGGCATGCGGCTTGCGTTGTCTATGCTGACAGACACCGAGCTCGATAGCAACCAACGTGAATATGCATCTATTATCGAGGATTCTACTTCCGTGTTGCTACAGATCATCAACGATATCCTTGATTACTCGAAGCTATCCTCAGGGTCATTCTCCCTAACATCGGACATTGTGGAGGTTGCCAGCGTCGTGGGCGCAGTTGCGCGAAACTGTAAATCTTGTTTAAAACCAGGCGTCACCCTCAGCTGTTCCATTCCGCCCAACTTTCCTCAAGCCCTGCGTGGAGATCCTCTACGATATCGCCAAGTACTCCAGAATCTTGTCGGCAATGCGGTCAAATTCACAGAGAAGGGGGATGTCAAAATATCTACGTCATTCGCCGTAGACGCCCAGGATCCAACGATGTACAATATATCGACGGAAGTAGTCGATTCGGGGGTTGGTGTACCTGGAAGTGCGCTCAACACCTTGTTCACGCCATTCACACGGTTTGCGGATTCGACGAGACGGAGATACCAAGGGACAGGGCTCGGTCTCTCTATCTGCAAAAGCCTAGCGGAACTTATGAATGGAAGTGTAGGCTATCGGCCGAATCCGGACGGACCGGGTAGTGTATTCTGGTTCACGGCTAGAATGGGGCGGACGGATACGCGAGTTCCAGTCAAGAGTTCTGGCGTGCTCCCTGCTGACAGCTCAGAAAATCTTATCAAAAAGCTGAGAGAGGTCGCGCCCCGCAAACATATTCTGCTCGTGGAAGATAACTTGGTGAACCACATGGTAATGCTCAAGCTCCTGCAGAGTTTTGGGTTCGAGCGGGTTGATGCTGCCTGGGATGGCGCAGAGGCCGTCAGGCTAGTGAAACAAACGCCACTCTCGTACAATGCAGTACTTATGGATATCAGCATGCCGGTTCTAGATGGTCTCGAGGCGACATCTCAGATCCGGAGTATGAAGATCGATGTGCCTATCATTGCGCTCACTGGCAATGCTTTGAAAGGCGACGCTGAAACCTATCTAGCCAAGGGCATGAACGACTATTTGGCAAAGCCTGTGCATCGCAATCACCTTTTACAGGTGCTTTGGAAATGGCTAGGTACATGAAGACCGAGTCCCTCACCGAGATATTCAACTACGGCGTGAATACGCCAGCATTTAGGAACCACTGGTTTGTGGATCATAGGGTTATCGTCAATTTTGACCCCCTCTCAGCCTTCGCCAGTGAACTCACCGGCCCTCATTAGCCCCATCAGTATACTTGAGCTGGTGGTACTGATCCAATTAAATGCTGGATGAGTGGATGGTTCGAGAGACCGTGTTGGTGATACCCACCTGGCGACAGGGTCCCATCGTCTAACAGACGGGGCACTTGTTGCCCAAAACAAGGCGTAATACGGAGCCCGGAAGGGCTTCTTAGTCCCTCTGCTTTGTGTTTCAGGTCTCCACTGCCGAATTATTTCCGACGGAACTGACCGGAAACCAAATATATCCATCTGAGACAATTATTGCACGCGTCGTTTTGGACTACTGTAGTACCGTTTACCATATCAATGCTATCAATCCTACCTTATTACACATTGGATCACGCTCCACTATTTTTTCTCACAACGTCGCGCGCGATGGAAGCTTTACCAACTCCAGGCTTCTGGGTCGATAGGACTTGTATTGAAGGAACCTCTGCTTAACTACATGCAGTGCCCCATCTCGGGTTTCTTCGATTTATGTCCAACATTTAGCGGAGTTGCATCAGAGCAATCGAAATGGTCCATCCATCCTGGCAGCCCTGTTCATTGGCTAAGCGAGAGTGAGACACAACACAAGTATATCGAGCTAAGGTGGAGGGGCTGAGCAGATTTCCAGTGAGGCTTCGATCCTCAATCTCGCATATCGAAGCTGCCTATCACATAACCTCCCTGACCGAGCCTGGGCGGCATAAGCTTGATGAAGCTGTCGCTCCAGGTCCAGTATGATGTGCTGAAGGACATTTTTCGCTGCGTTACTAGGCACCTTAAGGAAGACACCGAAAACCTGGACACCATTCACACGTCGCCTTTTCTCTTTCTGCCTCCTTTTGCTCCTTTTCGTATGAAGAAAGGTCGTTAGTCGTTAGTGAGGCCCATGTGCATCGTATGCAAGCGAAAAAATCCCTCCAATGGCCCTCTCTCTGACTCGGAAACCCTAATGCTACAGTAGATCTGTATCATAGCACTCATGGACATGTGAGATCGTTAACAACTTATAACCATCCTAGACATTATGAAGACCTACACGACCAGTACTCCGCTGGTTTGATATCGAAGTGGGGGCCCGATTTGGAGAGGGGTTGCTTTTCGGTTTCTGCAAGCTGTGAGCGAGAACAGAAAGATACGTGGGATTTGTTCAGCATCGTCATTATTGACGATCTGTCCAGGGGTGGGATCCGTATAGTAAGGTTATTATTTCATTTTCGAAGAACGCCCTGTTTAGGGCTTCTAAATAGGGCTTTCCTGGAGCTTAAGTTGACGTTGTTTAACGCCGGTTCCGGAGTCTATTCTTGCTCCACTCTTGCCAATTGCCACCCATATTTTCTAGGTTCCAAGAACCCGTAACTCCCAATCTATGCTGTCATGTACATACTATTTTCGTTTACTCGCTTGGACCTGGAAACCCAACATTCTATATATTGAACCCACTTACAGGGAATGTTGCTGCGCGCAGAGGTCCCAAATGACGATCATCTGAAGGAACGATCCGACATTGTAGCAATTGGGTCTCACCCAGTGATATCCAAGAAAAAACATGGCACATGTATTTACATCCTCATCTGCTTATTTACACAATCTCCTTGTTCACAGCCACGTTTAGGGTGTAATAGGTCCCAGATTTCCAGCAATCTGACAGCAGTGTTCGTTTACGAGTCGCCCGACTGCTCTGATCCTAGAGCCATCCAAAAGGGCGTGATGAGTAGAGTCAATATACTGTACCCGCAATCCAGGGCAACGAGCTGTCCACCACTCCGTCGCCCCGGCCGCGGCGGATTCGGGCGTTATGACGCAGAGACATTCGCCATGATATTCAGGTGGCTGAATCGGTTCGCGCGCCAGTGGTGCAACCTTGTTGAAATGATCCAGGATCAGCTGCTTTTGGGTTTCTCCGAACAACGTCAAAGCGTAGTTGATCTCCTTTTCGCTCTCATTGTCGTGTACAGAGTTCGTGTAAGTTGCCGCGTCCAACAAGACGAGAGAAGCTGGGTATTCGCCGTGTCGGGCTCGCCACAACGAGGCCATCTCATACGCGATCAACCCACCAAGAGAGTAGCCCCCAAAAATCAACCCATGCCCTAGAGAAATCTGCTTCTCTACATGGTTGAGATAAAGCTCTGCCCATCGGGGTATTGTCTCGGGACCCTCCGATCGGCCAAAGAACGGATCATGAATGACCAAGACATCAAGGATATCGTCTAGGAACGGGACCAAGGGCGAAAAGATACTGCCCTGTCCCCAAAGTCCGTGAATCAGTACGATTGTGAGTCGGGAGTGTGATCGACGATGATGTTCAAAGTGCCAAGTGGGCTCGTCGGAGAGTCCTTCGGTGCTCCTTGTGGGGATTATGTCTCCTAGCGCAGCCGGGGTGGGCGAGTTTAGGAGATCAAAAACGTAGAGCCTGCACATCAGTCGACGGTTGATTCGGGATACCAGTCGCGCAGCCTGAAGAGAATGGCCACCGAGATCATAAAAGCTGTCGGTAATACCAACTTCCTCACCCAACACGCTGGTAAACTCCTCGCATAGGGCGCGCTCTACGTCGTTCCGCGGCAACATGCGTGCAGCCGATGATCTATTGGCCTTCACGATGTGTGCACTCTTTGTAAGCGCTCGGCGATCGACTTTGCCGTTATCATTGATGGGCATCTTGTCCAGCACCCGAATCACGGAGGGGACCATGTAGGATGGCAACTTCACCTTGAGCTTGTTGCGCAGCTGCTCTTCGACCCTTTGTTTCAGCCGCTGCTGGAGCGGCCGGTTGGTCAATGAGTGAAAGGCCCGGCCATGATGGTCGGTAGGGAAGCGAAACAAGACCCTGGCTCCGGCGATTCTAGGTGTATAGCGGTGGAACACGGCATCCAAGCCGCCACTCTGAGAGGCCTGCCGGGCCCAGCTGACTTCCACAGAAAAATTGGCGAGATGGGCCACTTCGTGAAGGTCGACAACCGAGAGCGACGAAGTACTCCTTGCTGCTTCGTGGCAAGACCTAACCCAGTCGTTGCCATCGAGCTTCTCGTCCGCTGCACTGTCTAGTGACTCTAGAACACATCGCTCAAAGATGGTTTTGCTGTACGGGATGTTGCTCACCGCTGCGACGGCGGTGATCGGAAGGGATTCCAAAAGTTGTAGGAGCGACTGACGGTCTAGCTGGTGCGACACAAAGTCGATCCACTGCCCCTCGTCGATCTGGTAGATGGGCTGCGACCGTTCCTTCTGGTGTTTTCTGTATATCACCGCCGCGTATCGATAACAGCTGAGCTCGTTGGTCGCCCTCATCCTCTTGGGTAGGATCTCGACGTGGTCTACAAGATCCGGCAGCTGAGTCTCCAATGCCGTGAAAAATGCGGGATCAATAAGTAGTTCCTCTTCCGCTCGTTCTATCGCTGTCATCTTCTGTCTGATCGCACCCGGCGTTGCTGTACTGGTGATATGTAGTGCTTGTGTCACTTGGAATTCTCGATAGAGAGCGTAGGACCGCACGTCGCCGAAGAACAGACGCTCGACGCTGTCCAAACGAAGGAGGTCCTCAATTGCCTTCAGTAGATACTCAGCAGTAGGAAAATACTGCGCCGTTGAATTGACCACGACTAGGTCAGGCGAGTTAAGCCTGTCAGTACGAGAGACGTCCGTGACCGTGCCGACTCGTACCTCGACCTTTCCGCGTAACGATGGTACCGATTGGGCCGCCTTGTTCGCGAACGTTGCCGCTTGTTCAGCAAGCTCAAGACCGACATAGCTTTGCAGAGATTTGGGTAGATTGAATAGGATCATTCCACTGCCTGTGCCCACTTCTAAGACGTTGCGGGGCTCACCACCGTCGAGGATAGCCGTCATAGTGTCATCCAGCCACTCTTCCATCTCATTTCTGTCGATTTCACTCCCATCGTACATGGATGTCCATCCAACAAAGTCTCTCCCTAGCTTACTAGGGTCTATGTTGTCGATGCCAGCATACGCGGTTACGTCAAAGTGCTCCCTCCACGTTTCAACCTGTCCTTGCTCACTGTTGCTGTCCACTGTCTCCCATTCAGAGAAGCCCTGACCGTCAGAGATGGTGATAAAGCTAACCAACTCCGGCTCCTGACCCTCCGCGTCGCGCACTACTGTCACAGCGTCATCGACGGACTCATAGGCAAGCAATGCATGTTCCACTTCTCCTAGCTCGATACGGTGTCCTCGTATCTTGACCTGGTAGTCCATGCGGCCAAAAAACTCGAGTTGGCCATCCATCGGCCGGTATCGCACATAATCTCCCGTTCGATAGGCCTTCACGGACACACCGTCGATTACCACGCGCACGAATCGATCGCGATCCCTCTCTGGATCGGTGTATCCTCTGGCTACACCGTCCCCAGTGACGATGAGCTCTCCTAAGACTCCGATGGGCACTAGACGCTGCTGCATATCCATGACATATGCGCCTGAATTGCTGACGGCCCGCCCAATGGGCACACCGTTTACACACCTTTCTTCCGGGAGTATACGGTATAATGTGCTAAGTACTGAATTCTCTGTAGGCCCATAGGAATTGTAAACCCCACCTTTGACCAATTGAAGTATCTTGGATGCATCCTGTGCGTCCAAGCGGTCTCCAGCTGTAAAAAGTACTCGAAGTGCTTGGATCGTGGTGGGAGAAGCAACGAGGCATTCCTTCAAGAAGGCCGGCGGGAAAACAGCAACTTCGACTCTCTCTCCCTTGAACAAGTCGCCCAGCCTGACTCCGTCTAAGGCAGTCATGTCATCGATGCAGATTATTGTTCCTCCGTTCAACAAAGGGGTGTAGATCTCCGACGTCGACGTGTCAAACGCGATATTGGTCATATGTGCCACTGGAACAGCTCCCCAAATTCGCGACAGTACGTCGGCTGCCCGTAGTATGCCGCGATGCTCAACCATAACTCCCTTAGGTTTACCTGTCGATCCTGATGTGAACATAACATAAGCTAGACTAGTAGCCGAAGGTGCCACAGAGGCCGCTGCCAGTCCATTGCAGGCCCGGTCAGCCTGAGACGAACGGTGGAGGATGTCGGCAATAGAGACGAACTCGACATCAGCTGCCTGAATAGCTGGAGCTGGCACATCTTGTCCGAGAAGAAGCAGCTTGTGGCCCGGGACGGCAGAGAGGATGGCCTCGATGCGCAACTTCGGAAGTCTGATATCCAGCGGCATATACGCAAGGTTCGCCTTCAGGATCCCCATGAACGCTACAATTGTCTGGCATGACCGTGGGGCAAGAACGCCAATAAGTGTTTCGGCAGGGATACCAGCCTGTGTAAGCCAGTTGGCGAGTCTCTCCGATCTTTCGTCTAGTTGGGCATAGGTCAGCTCGCCGGCAGAGTCTTTGACAGCCACGACGCTAGGAGAAGCGAGGGCCTGGCGCTGGAACGCCTCGACCACGCTAGAATCGCGCGCATACATTGTGCGCTTGATCTCAAGAAGACCCATCTCGCGCAGCATGGAGCTGCCATCGGTCAGGTGTAGAGAGGCGACCGGTGTCTGAGGCTCCTCAAGGCCTCGTTTGAGAACCTCGTAGAAGACTGCAACCATCCCGCTGATTGTTCGTTGATGGTAAAGTTCTGTCGCGAATAGAACAGTGCCACGGATGCACTCTGCTTCTTGGAACAGGTGAAACTCTAGGTCTAATCTCGAGCCCGACACGACGCTCAGCTGCTCCATCTCCAGGCTATCGAACGTGGATCGCCCTAGGTCCTTTTTAGAGTGCAAGGAGAATACTAGTTGAACAACAGGATTACGCGACCCGTCTCTAATATCTATCGGCAGCTCCGAAACGATCTTCTCGAATGGGACATCTTGGTTCGCATGTGCGTCCGCTGTCGTTCTGTGCATTTGGCGGACCAACTGTTCGAAAGATTGATCATCTTCGATCCGGATTCTAATGCATTGTAAATTGGAAAGGAAGTCAATCATGCCCTCTGGTCTTTGCCCGTTCCGGCTTTCCTTCAGGGTGCCCACAGTCGCATCGTCTACACCAGTAAGACGGTAGTGTGTTGTTCTAAACGCAGTGAGCAGAACAGTAAAAGGGGTCACTTCGTGTAGTTTGCAGAAGTCCTGTAGGTCTCTATATAGCGACCCACTGAGTTCAACCTGTTGCTTTTCCGCTGCTCCTGACGGTATAGTCTGTCGTGGCTTGTCGCAGAGAAATCTGGCTGGATGGCTTCCTTCTAGTTGTTTGACCCAGTATTCAACCTGCCGTTGGTGCTCCCCTGTCTGTCCTTGCTGCTTCTGCCATACGACAAAGTCCCGAGATTGGATAGGTAACGGTTCCGCTGGTGAGAGCAAATCCTGAATGCCCGAAGACATCTTTGGACTCGTGAACTCGGGGGGATAGTTCAAGGGGGAAGTTCCTATACTGGGTTTAGATGATGAAGAAGGGAGAGCCGAGGACTGGCAGGGGTAATTTTGCAGATGAATTTCATTCGTCGCTTCGCTCTTGAACATAGTACCCCGGCGCTATGCTTGATAAGAGACGCTGTAAGAAGAGTCCGTAGGCCTCTACTATGCCAACGGTATATGACTCCTAGAGGTTTCGGCTTCTCTCGGCGCACAACAATGAATTCGGTCTCCATCGGGTGCCGAATCGAAGTACCGAATATTGCATAAGCGCCGATACGGGCCTTATACGAGAGATATGGCGTGGTCTTGCGAGGTGCATCCATTTGAGTTCTACATAGAGTCAAGGCCAACCCTAGATTCTCTTCGCACGCCCCAATGTTTTTGTCCGAATTATATACTTTGGCTTGTTGACCCTCTATCATCTGCTCCGCTATGGGTGTTGTCGTTTGGAATTACACTGTCAGTCCAGGCTCTGCATGCCTACCATCTCCCAAAACAGCCCTCGTCTTGCCATAAGCTGTTTGGAGTTGCCAATCTCGACTATAGATCCTTCGCGCATCACGCAAATTATGTCGGCGTTCATGACTGTGCTCAAACGGTGGGCGACCATAATGGTAGTACGGTTCTTCTTGACTGCATCAATGGCCGCTTGTACGATAGCCTCCGACTCACTATCTAGTGCCGACGTGGCTTCATCTAGTAGTAAAAGCTTAGACTTGCGCAGGAATGCACGGGCGATAGTGATGCGTTGTTTCTGCCCGCCGCTGAGCATGCTGCCGCCGGTACCCACTATCGATGATAGCCCATCACTACACGTAAGATGTGGTTAGATCTTATCCACTTGGGGGCTTTGCACTTGGGGAATAGGATACTGACGGGAGGGAGTGAACAAAGTCAAGAATATTAGCTTGTCTGCACGCGGCCAGAATGTCATCGTCGCTGACTTGTCCTACTAAACCCACCGCAATATTTTCTCTCATGGTACCAGAGAAAACAACGGGTTCCTGGCTGATTAGTGAAATTGTCGATCGATAAGTTTTTAAATCCAGGCTACGTATATCATGTCCATCAACGAGGATCTGCCCCTGATGGAATGGGTAGAATCGTGCGAGAAGAGAGAGGCATGTGCTTTTCCCACTCCCACTTTGGCCTACCAAAGCTAGCGTCTGCCCGGGCTCAACAGTAATCGTGAAGTTGTCCAAAGCACATTTGTCTGGCCTGGAGGGATACGAAAAAGACACGTTCTTAAAGGCCACTTGACAAGGTTCAAGGCCGTGAAGAAGCTCGTGTTCGGTTCTCTTGTGTTCCAATATACCAGACTCCGCAGGCCGCCACTGCACTTCATTCCCGGGGTCATTGAGTTCCACTATATACTGAAGGTCCTGGGCCGCATGCATCGCCTTACCGGCATCGGGTGCAAAGGTAAATATTGAACCGGCAATCTGAGAGCCCGATATGAGACAGACAAAACATACATAGACCTGAAAATCAGAGTATTCGCGGTTGGCAATCAGTGTTCCACCGTACCAGAAGGCAAGGGCCGCGCATAGATACACAACGGATTGCGACGCAGCATAGAGTCCTGAGGCAATCAGTATGGACTGGAGAGACTTCGCTGCTCTCTTTGCTAGAAATCCGTCATAAAGCATAAGAGCCTGCTCCTCAAGACCTAATGAAGCGACAGTTCGCATAGAGCGCACTATTTGTCCTGCGTATGCGGCCGAGTCCACTCCACTTTGCCTAATTCGAGCATCGAATGCTGCAAGCACCTGGAGGCGCAACCAACCGCAAGCAACAACAACAGGTATCGTTGCTGTACAAACAAGAGCCAGCTTCCAGCCGATGGCCAATGAGACTACTATACCACCGACAATGGTGGAAATGAAGGTCAATATGCCTCCCAGGACCGGGCCCCCCATACCAGCAAGATCGTCGGTACTTTTTGAGAGCACGCTCGAAAGCGCACTTGGTGAGTTTTTGGATTGATCGAAGAAGGCCATGTTCTGTACTGTTATACGATGGCAACAGATCTCGCGAACCCGCTGGGACAGCTTTTGCGTTGCGTACGACAGAGTAATTCCGAGCCCCAGCCAGAGTATGAATCCCGCCCCCGCAAGGGCGACATAGAGACCGGTCCACAGATTAACGCCATGTCTCAGCTGACTGTACTGCGCTTGAGGTAGCCCAGTGATTGTTAGTAGCTTTGCAAAGAATATGGATTGGCTGGAATCAATCAGTCAACGCCTGCTTAAGGGCAAAAAATATGGAGGTATGAAAAGGTACGCACACTGGGATTTCCAACCCTGCAAGTATTGCACACGCAAGACCAATTAGCAGAAGTTTCCAGTCGGGTCTACTCATAAAGAAAATGAATGATAATGCCCCTCTAGCGCTTGGGTTGTAAGAAGTGTCATTGGGCGCCTCCACAACACGGGCAGTAACAGATGCGCCATTCTTTTCATCATCCGAATTGGAACCATGATCCAGACTATCATTCAGCATGATAATACCCTCATCACACGTGTGTAATGAACTTGATGCATCTTGTCCATTTTCTTTGATCTGTTGCTTCTCGATCAAGTCAGCATATAACCCATTTCGGGCCATCAGCTCGACGTGAGTCCCTTGGTCTACAACTTTGCCCTGAGCGAGTACAACAATTGAGTCAGCATTCTTAATGGTGGATAATCTGTGAGCAATAACAACGGTTGTACGTTGCTCTGCTGCGGCGTCAATAGCTGCTTGTACAGCTTTCTCAGACGATGTGTCCAAGGCGGAGGTTGCTTCATCCAGAAGAAGAATTTTTGGGTCTCGAACAAGAGCACGGGCAATGGCAATCCTCTGTCGTTGCCCCCCTGAGAGCTGGAGCCCCTTTTCGCCTACTCGGGTCTGGTAGCCTTCAGGTAATGCCATGATAAAGTCATGCGCATACGCTTTCTTCGCAGCGTCGACGACTTTCTCAAGCCGCGCGCTTTCCGAGGCTGCATCATTCACATTGGAGCAACTGTAATATATATTGTCAAGTATGGAAACGTCGAGGAGGATCGGATCCTGATCAACTAGGCCTATCTGCTGCCGGAGCCAGCGCAGGTTGAAGGCTTGGATATCTTGCCCGTCGATAGCTGTAATTCAATTAACAATTTGTAAGCCTCGTAGATGCACTTTTACACTTACTAATTGCCCCATGTGTTGGCTCATAGAACCTTTCGATGAGACCAATAATGCTACTTTTACCTCCCCCAGAAGGTCCAACTATGGCCGTCTTCTTGTCCGCGGCGAATTTCAAAGTGACGCGGTCCAACACTTTGGCCTGACTTCTCGATGGATAGACAAGATCCACCTGATCGAACAGGATGTCACCCACAACATTAGTTAACTTGTCACCGTCTGCGACCAAAGGATCTTGTGGAGACCTTCTAGCAATAGTCTCCAGTAGTGACCCAGTAATAGCGACCCCAGAAGTCAGCGCTTGCAAGGATGGTGCGATTCTAATGATGGCGAACACGCCGATTGTTACAGCCAGTGTAGTTGTTGTGATATCAGTCACAGACATCTCGCCTTTAACCAGGAAGATTGAACCTGCCCAGAATGAGAGCGCATAGATAAGGCATGGCATGGCGTTCATTGATGCCACGAGACCCGCTACCATGTTCTGAGCTTTTCTTTCTGCTCGTGCGGCTTGACCTAAGCTTAGAGAATAGCGTTGTCGCACGAAATTCTGCATCCCAAAGGCCGCTACCTGTCTGATAGCACCGAAGGCTTCTTCGGGGATACCAGCTGCGTAACTGTACTTTTCCCGGGATTGCTTTTGATGCCTGACAGTATATGCACCACCGACGGAAAACATCAGGAGCATTGCGATGAAAAATGGAGTTAAAATCAGAGCAGTTTTCCAGTACATGACAAAGGCAATAATGAAAGCCGCGCAAAATGTGGCTATTGCGCTCAGCATGGTCGAAGCTTTACTTGTTATAGCTTCCTGGAGGATGCCCATGTCGGACATGATGCGGTTTGAGATCTCACCAAGACGCAGAACATCAAAAAAAGCCATATTCTGGCGTATGATAGCAGAAAGGTATGCGATTCGAAAGGCCCTCGTGATTCGCTCCCCGCTGTAATAGAATCCGACCGTGGCCAGGTACGTAAAGACGAAAAGGCCGATGCTAAGATACACATAGTATAGACTGAACGTCGAGATTTTCGACCGCAGCTCGGCAGCATCTACTGATCCCGTCGCAAAACCGTTGAAAACGCCCACGAGGAGGCCATATATAACCTGTGAGAGGACGCAGTGAGCGAGAGTGGTTGCTTGGGTGAGCAAACGAATGGCTCAGACGTACGGGAACTAGCGGGTTTAAGGCACCTGCAATAATCGCGCAAACTGAACTGAAGCAAAGGATAGTCCTGTCGAGCTTCGTTGCATAGGTAACTATTTTCAACCTTCCTCTATCGTCACTGCGGAGACCATTCAATTGCCTTTCGAGCACAGTCTGCATGTGCTCTTCCGAACTCATATCGACTTGCGATGAGGCCATGGCTACTCGTCCTATACCAATTGCTTTGGGATGGAAGCCAATAAGGCACAATCTTTGCCAGCAAGGGGTGTAGAGGTAGCTCGAAGCGCAATCTGGCACCTGACTGTAATTGCTGGTTCCGTGCTAGATGCCTTTACTAATCCAATGGCCGTAACTAATGTTAACATTGACAGAATTCATGCGTTGGTCACCGATATTATTCGATATAAACGCCGATTGTTTACGGACACCGAACGGACCGACCAACAAACTGAGGCTCGGTCAAGATATACTTGCATGCGTCATGCAACTCGTACAGTACCAAGTAACGCTCGATTCGAAGTGGGGGCTAGAAGATAACAATAGTTAGTTAGCAGACGTCTTATCTAAGATGATTGATGAATAAATAATTCTGTGTAGGTGGTGCTGAGGCCATATTTATACGGCCGCGGAATCAAAGCAATTGGAAAGACAGTGATCAGACACTAGGTCTATTTAGGCAGCTTCAACAAGTAGTTGGAACGTTACTTATTATATTTGTTATTGATTCTCCATCATATCTATACCTTTAGCTAAACTTCAGGAGCTCGAGAGACAAGGTACTGTGGGAAAATGTCTGTCGAATGTCCCAAGCCAAGCGTCTTTGCGTTCCCGCTCAAGCCTAAGGAATATGCGCCGGCGCCTTTGCCGTCTCTCGAAGAATGGAAGAAGCTATGGGCGGCGTGGGATCTCGTGACCACCAAGATGATCCCTGCCAGTGCCTTGATGGAGAGGCTGATTCCCCTCCGTAATCCCCTCCTGTTCTATCTGGGTCACATTCCAGCATTGTAAGTCTTGCTCGTCGTTCACCAAGATATATATCGTGAACTGACATAATCGGGTTTATCTACTAGTGAAGATATACACTTGACGCGGGCCACCGATGGCAATCCGACTGAGCCAGCTATTTTTCATGATTTCTTCCAAAGAGGCATAGATCCCGATGTGGATGACCCGACCAAATGTCATGATCACAGCCAACTGCCAGAGTCATGGCCTACACTTGAGGAGATCCTTGACTACCGGGAGAGAGTCAATAAAAGAATTACTGCGCTGTACAACGATCCCGACACAATGAGCAACCGAACCATCATGCGTGCACTCTGGATCGGGTTCGAGCATGAAGGTTAGTGAAAAGAAGACCCTATATGTCGTAGCTCTGAGCTTACAGTCCTATAGGACTCCATCTCGAAACCTTCTTGTACTTGACCGTACAAAGCCCATCTGTCTTGCCCCCACCTGGACCGACACCCGATTTTGAGGCAATGGCAAAGAAAGCCTTCTCTGAACGCGTGGAAAACCGATGGTTTGGGATTCCCAATCAGACATTTACAATTGGCTTCGATGATCCAGAGAGTGATGAAGGGCCGAACCGATTTTTTGCATGGGACAACGAACGCGAGCCCTACTCGGTCACAGTGCCAGAATTCGAAGCGCAGGCGCGCCCAGTGTGCAACGAGGAGTATGCCAGATATCTGTTCACTACTGGCAAGAGAACGGTTCCCATTACCTGGACTCAAAACCCGAGTGTATCGCGGACAGCATCTGGGAACGCGACCGTCAACCAACTAATGACCAACAGAGGCGATGATGGTTTCGCACAATTCATCGACAGTCAGGCCATCAAGACAGTATATGGTCCTGTGCCTTTGGCATTGGCGCTTGACTGGCCTCTCATGGCTTCATACAATGAGGTTGAAGGGTACGCCGAATGGGTCAAAGCGCGTATTCCTACTTTGCATGAGGTGCGAAGCATTCATGAGTATGTCGAGAAGCAGAAAGTGAAGCGCAATCCCCCTTGCGACGACAGTAGCCCAAGACTGCAACCTGATCCCGAGGAGATCTTTGTAGATTTGACTGGCTGTAATGCTGGCTTGCAGCATTTTCACCCCGTCGCCGTCACTCAAAATGGCAATCGGATCTCTGGCTTGGGGGATATGGGTGGGGCCTGGGAGTGGACTAGCTCGGTGTTTGCCCCGCAGCCCAATTTCAAGCCCATGGACATTTATCCTGGCTACAGTGGTACGTATATTGCTTATGGCTCTGTAGCATACAATCGCTAACGCATGGCAACTGCAGCGGACTTCATGCACGGGAAGCACAAGGCCGTCGTGGGTGGGTCCTGGGCCACCCACCCGCGGATTACAGGACGCAAGTGTTTGTGAGTTTTTGTTCCTTCAAGTACGGTGGCCAGCTAATTAACATAATCCTCTAGCTTAAACTGGTGGCAAATGAATTATCTCTATCCTTGGGTTGCTGTTCGTCTTGTGCGCGACACAGTAAAGGCTAGATGAACAGGGTGAAGACCGAGATTATACGATTAGCATGCCCTACTAGAGTGGTTTTGGATATGAACTAAGCACAATGCTTCCCCTCGCTTGATCAAATGTTCGTTCCAGCAGTTCTTGCTCGTAGCCTCTTTGGCGATTAACGCTGATTTGGGTGCCAAAAGTGCGTCTTTCTAGCATCTGTTGTGATCCTCTTAGAGCGTTGGTCTGTATGCATTCTATTGGCCGGTGCTGGTAGTGGCTGGTGGTGCGTAGCCCTAACATCTTTAGAGGCTAGCTAGACATGGGGCTTCCTCTGTAGTGCCAGGCGCCTTAAAGGCTTGGTCGAGTTTTCAGAGGTGTTGTCCGGTACGGTCACCGAAAAGGCTGCGACACAGCGCTATTATTTGCTTGCTTACTATCGGTCCGACATAGCTGATTGCTCTTGGCTTCCTTTTCAAGGCTGGGCCTAGTTGAATGCTTCGTATCGGTCCGTACGTGTGTTTTTCAAGGGGCAGTCTACTATCTCAGCCGGTGCCTGAAAGTGAATCCTGCAGTGCCCCCTGCTCCCATCCACACTTGGCACGTAGTTTTAGTCAGTTTCAACGAGAAAGCCATAGCCTATATCCCAGTCTACTTCAACATTCAAAGTGTTACCATCAATTCAAGAACAGTCAACTGCTCAGTTTCAACTGGATTATGTACAAATATGGCTATTCCACGACAGATCATCATCGTCGGCTCGGGTGTCTTTGGCCGTAAGTATGCCTTGAGGTAATCAGCTGAAGAGATGACTGACATGTGTAGTATCCACGGCGTACTACATGAGCCGAGACGCCACGTTTGCCAAAAGTAGTATCATCCTCCTGGATGCCTGGGACTTTGAGCCGGACTCCCAATCGACTTCCGTGCATAATCCTGGAGCAGCAAATGCAGACACATCGCGCATCATTCGTCGTGTCTATCCACAAGGCCCATACGCCGCGCTCGCAGATGAAGCTGTGCAGCGCTGGCATGCAGAGTGGGGCAGAGATGGCAGATATGTCGAGCAGAGACTATTATTTGCTGCAGAAGGCTCTTCTATTAGGTCTCCCCGACAGCGCGACGAGACCGTTAATTATATCAAGGATGCCTATGAAACTAGCTGTGAGATGACTCCTGGGGGTGCTGAGTCGTTGGAAATCTGGGATTCACTTGATAGGATACGTTCAGAGCTTCGGCCGTCTGGGAAGCCATCTGGAAACGTTCGTAACGCGCAAGACAAGCAGCAGGAAAGGTCATTGAGAGGGTTCATCTCGAACGACTGCGGCTGGGCCAATTCTGGGGCAGCCATGGAGTGGTTACGACAAGAAGTGGTTCGCATGGGTCGTGTCGAGCGTCGTGTCAGCGAAGTGCAGAATTTGCTTTATTCGAATGAGGGAACCCGAGTCAACGGGGTCCGACTTCGAGACGGGGCAGAAATTATAGCTGATCTGACGATTGTTGCCGCAGGCTGTCACTCCGCACGCATCCTGGGCGTGCCAGAAATGTGTAGTGTCGAGAGCGCAGTCGTTGCATACATCCAGCTCTCCGAGGCTGAAAGCAAAGAACTCAAGAAACGAAACTGGCCGTTGATGATAAACACCCATCGCGGAGTATTTTGCGTTGGACCAGATCACGACAACTGCTTAAAGTTGGGGCAGTGCTCAACCATGAGCAAAAAGGAAATCTTGAAAAGCGCTTCTCTCGCCGTTGGGCCGCAAACCCATTTCTCAGAACCCGTCCATCAGCCTGACTGGGAGAATCCCAAGGTTGGCTGGGGGTGCAATGTCATGCTATCTAGTCAAGGCGATGTTGTGGACCCCGAGAGCGCTTCGATCAACAAGACTTTGGCCGCTTTCCGTTTATTCCTCCTGGAGCTACTTGGGCCGGTAGATCTCGGAGGTTTTGACATTTTGGAATCAGATGACGGCCTACTCAACAATATCGCCGTCCGACCATTCGCTCGGGTGCATAAGTGTTGGTACAATGACACGCCGACATATGATTTCGTAGTTGATTATCATCCTTCGTATGATAGGAGTCTATTTGTCGCCTCGGGAGGCTGTGATCACGCGTTCAAATTTCTACCGGTTTTGGGGGAAAAGGTGACGTCCATACTCCTTCACCATCTGGGCGTGTCTAGCTCTTCCACACCAGTAGATTCTTCGATAGAAGAGTTGTGCAAACTTTGGAAATTTCCGGCGCATCTCGTGCACTAAAACCTTATCGGGTGCTCACAGAACGTGGATATGAATCTCCATCACCTGAATTCGAGATAGAGTCTAAAGTTCAATTCGTTTATTCATATCAATGTTGGTTGCTGTAAACGTTTCATTTCTTAGCAAGACGCCATCTAGACCACGTTACGTGATAGCTTGACCATTCGGCCAATGACGTTTCTACAACACTTTTTACGTGTGATTTCTCACTTGCCAAGGTCTTGTGCCTCGTGGTGACTGCAATGCTATAGTTTTAGTAACCTGTTATGCGGGTTCAACTCAAATCCATCGATCTGCAACCGTGCGACAGCCAATGGTACTATTGGTGGGGATCGACCCATGCCACCCAGTATCGGGGCGAACAAGCTGCCAAACGATTGGAGGGTAGATGCATGATAAGAATGGACACGATTGAGGACGCCTATAGGTCAGAGCGACCAACAGAGCCGAAATACAGGTTACAGGACTTTTGCGCGGCGGGGAGGCACACAGAGCACCCGACGACTTAGATGACTGCAGATCTCTAGTGAAATTATTGTACATTCGCCGTTCCTAGAACCAAAGTACCGTGAGAAGCCGAAGCTTGGCGACGCGTCAGCCGTGAGCCAGGCCCCCTGTCATCTGGGGTAAAACTGGCGATATAGAAGCGGCAAAGGGCGAGTTGAGATCAAATTGAACGTTTACGCTGACGGCATGAGCAGTAAAGAGACACACGCCAATTAAATGCGTGGCTGTGTCCGTCGGACCCCGACGCATGTAACCCCATATACAGAAGGATGCCGTACGGTAGCCAGGTGCATGCACCAATCCCCGAGCGGCATATAAGGCCATGAGGGTACCACGGCGCCGAGGAGGACGGATTGCAGTTCCGTGAGCGATCTTTGCCTATCATCCGTCTCCACACACGCAAATTGAGTTAAACACTGCTCTCCACCTAACAAGATGACCACTGGCGCCCGCCCCAAGGAGGAATATGTGGCAGAGCCCCAGCTTCTTCCGGCATGGGTGAACCCGGACCTGGATCGTCTCATGGTCGTGCACAAGGAAAGGGACGGCAGCTACTTCCGGTCGTGGGCCGAGTCCAAGGTCGACTTGCCCGCTGGAGCCGTCTTTGCCCGCATCAACGGTATAACACCTACTTCCCAGCAGGACTACGCCACGGTGCAGAGTGGGCCCAACACGCACTTTGTCTGGAACTCCGATCTCTACTACTGTAATCATTCCTGTGCGCCCTCGCTCGAATGCGACACGTCGACATGGGAAATGAGGGTGAGTCGCGACAGGCCGCTCAAGAAGGGCGACGTATTATCGGTGTTTTACCCGAGCACGGAGTGGACTATGGACCGCGAGTTCGAGTGCTGGTGTGGTGCTGGGGAGGGCAAGTGCTGTGGGATTATCAAAGGGGCTAGAGATATGAATGACCGCTGTTTGCAGCGATTCTGGCTCAACGATCATATCCATGCGCTGCGTAAACGGAGGGCAAATATTCCGCATTTATAAAAGATTACTGGTAGTAAGATATATCAGGTTCGTGTCTCTTGTCTCCCTGCAGCCTGATCATAGATGTAACTGATCAGTGGAAGCAATAGAGTTCCATCTTAACTTTTTTTTAGTTCTCAACTAATCCGGGGAAAAGTGGATGGAAAAGGGGGTCTACGGGTAAGCCCTAAGCGGGTCGCAGTGTTAAGAAGGCGGTCAAAATAATCGGCAAAATACAACCAATGAACTATATATACAGTGTAAAAGTTTGATTCAAAGCTCACCAAGTGGTCATATCAGAAACTGAATGTAGGTTGTGCTGGTTTACCAAGCCCTTGTGTAATGATTTTCCACTGAGTTAGCCTGCTTTGATTAGTGAATATCTGATGTTTATACTACTAATCATCATAAGACGATCCGGAGGCCCGTCCCACAAACCGCTCTTCTAAGTAAGGTTAACCTCCAGTAGTGGTCCAGACCACAGACTCCCGAATAGGAAGTAGTTAATAATAACCTACAGTACATAAAAACAAGGGAGCTTTTTCTTACATCTTTATTGAATCATTGACTTTTTCCTTGAAAGGTCTTTTAGTATATCTTAAGGAGCGTCATAGACAGTGCGCCATTTACATAACCAATACAACCAAACAGCCCTCGCTAGAAATAGTGTTGGACGCGGGGGCCAGCACTAGTCCAAAATAGTTATGTTAGGGGAACAGGAGCCTCAAGAACCTCGGCCGCTGTGGCTGAAGTCTTCCTGTCGAACTCAATTTCTAGCTAAGTAAGCAATTTCTTCTTTAGAAGTATATATACGTACTTTAAACGGAATATGAATGTAGTATTGACGAAGGACAGTATCACGTCAGCTTGTCTAGCGGAGTCCCTCTAGTCTATACTAAACTGGAATAATCTACTGTGGCTTAATATGCCCGGCAGACGGGATCTAGAACTTCGGAATGTCGTATGGCTCGGAATTGTCTGACAATGGTCTCGCAAAGGACAGAATGCAAGCGTGGAAAAGATAGAAGGGACCTGTGATAGAGTCAATTGACATTGGAGCATGTTGGGCGAGATTATGAAACGATACTAGAAAAATGAGGAATAATCTGTCGGCTCTTAGCTTCAACTCTTCCTTTCCACTACGGTATTTTGAACATTCGACTTTTAACAAAATTCTCAATGTCTTACGCAAAAGAACCCCACCGCTGACCGCTGCCCGCCTAACCGCCAGGCCAGCGGGGTAGGTTGTATACATCCTTGTCGGCGTTGATATCACTTCCCGAGAAGACGAATCACACCATTCTCCCCGGATGCGGCGCTGCTTGGTTGTCGTACCGGCCAACAGAAGGCTTGTGATACAGCCAACGACTGGCTGATAGTCATCATAGATGTTTGCTGCCGTCGTCCTGAATATTGGGCACGTGATGCATAACAAAAGTACTAGATGACCAACGTCTTCATCACAACGATCAAGGAGACCTATATCATTTCATCGCGTTGAGAACGCATTGGACCTGATCGGAAAACCTGGAATCGACGGCTGCTCCTACCCCCTCCCGAACTTCAAAACACCGGTGGCAGACATGGATAATATCGCTGCTGGACAGCGTTTACGTTCAGCATGCAACGAATGTCACGCATCAAAGGTACACTTGTCCCACTAGCTTGTCACGCAAGCGACGGTCCAACTGACGACACGTTTGACAGGTAAAATGCAGCGGCGAAAGAACAGGTTGCCGGCGATGCATTAGCGCCGGTACGTGATTTGTGTTGCTTGGAATCCAATAAAGCCCCTTACCGATCGCTTCTAGGATATGACTGTCAATTTGAAGTCTCCATGGTTGGACGGTGCTCCAAGGGACGCCGACGCCGCAAGCGTGGCTCGGACTCAAGCCTGACGGCCACGGAGCGAACGGGCCCCACGGCACCGCGTGGTGTAGGGAATAGTACTCAAACGGGAGCCTTCCGACATTTGCCAGCGTCTGCAGACTCGTCTACCGGCGCGGACCGTGTCCCCATCGACCTAGATCTCACCCCGCTTCTCAACTGGGACTCTGGCACCGGGCCTGATCCCGCTGGACTGTGCGCCGACGGGGATAGTAACATATTGTTTGCTGACCACAACGCAACAACAACGGGTGATGTATTCGGGGGTGCTCTGAGTCAGCTTGACATCCCGAGTCCGACGGAAGACTGCACTTCGGGATTGCATATGGCCTTCGTTGCATCCTCCACTATTGACCGTGTCCATACAACGTTGCCCCTTACACCTTATGCAACTACAGCAAGCACAGCGACTCCCCGGACTTCCGAAAACATACTGCAAGAACAGATAACAAACGCCCCAGTCAGTTCCGACAAACACACCGGTATTCACATCCTCTTTAATGTTATAACAAATCTGGAGGCTGAAATCGGCGACCCTGGCTCAAAGATTGATAAGATCATGCATACCGTAAAGACAAGCACCAAAGCTGTTCAGCGCGTGACACAGTCCAGACAGTGGCAACTAGCTGTAGTCGGTCCGATGCTGGCGCTTGTTGCCATCGAGGTGGCATTGATTTTGATCGAGAACATTGTCTCTCGGTGGAGCGGCAGCACAAATGCGAATCTGAATAGTTATTCTATTAATGACCAGCAAAGTCCACGCGCCTTACTACTTGGTGAATATAGGGCCGAAAGCGAGGAGGCCGCTATGATCTGGAGACATGTTATAATAGTCGAGCTTCGGCGCTTACGTAGGCTGATTGAAGCACTCGGGGTCTATCTTGATGACTCGAGTCGCTGTCAGAATGGCCAGCGACCGGTAGATCGTCTAAAGAACTCCTGCGCTTATCAAGAACAGAAAGTAGCATTACTCCTCGCTACTTTACAGAGGCAGGAGGAGATAGTCGATGATGGAACAGGCTCCGCGTTCTAGAAGTAACCTTCGAAGGTAATACATTAAAAGATGAAGAAGGTTGGGTTGACCGATTCGGACTTGGACCATAAATTGCAGTCTCGTGATACCTCTAACTTGGACAAAAGATTCTGACAACCATCCTCATCGCGACGTGTTTGAATACCATCTTTCAGTTGGGTTGCTACTTTCCAGACCAAGTGATCATTTCGTGATGTTATTGTTACATTTATCTTCCAATTTTACGGGACAATGGTCTGCTCCCAGATACAATATCTGCCTCTATATACCTTACTGTCTTTCGATTACTTTGTGTGTGTGATGTTTCTGGCTTCGGCCGCCTCTGAGACAAAAGATCTTTTCATGATCACTGCTCTTCAAATAAAAGTATATCTGACTGCCTCTCGAACTTCTTTGGCAATATTCAATGCCTCTTCGCGACTATTCCGCGAGAAAACATTGAAGTAAGCTAGAAAGGTGTTCCGTCCAGTGCTGGGATGTGGGACATGTTGTCCTCGTTTTACAAGACAACCGCATTTACTAATGAATGCTTCGAGATCAGGTCTTCTTGCAATGAGGTCCGCGCAAATGTCCTCCGAGTCAAAGATACCTTTACACGAGGAGGTGAAATCAGCCGGAATGAAAACCATCACACTGGTATATTGCGGTCCCTTGAGGAATGGTCGGGCAAGAGCGCGAACGCGAGTCTTATCACCCACGGCCGAAAGTAATGCTAAGCCCCAGTAGTCGATTCCGTACGTGGATTCAATAATTTGGGAGCCTGTCATCCCTAGAGGGCGAGGGTTGATCTCGATGAGCCATGCCCTTGGTGCACGATTACTGTGACTGCTCCGTGGGGAGAGCACCATAACTCCGTCCTTCGTCATATACTCGACCACAGAGTTCTCTATGCGTCCCTCCAGGTGCATGACCCCGCTCCTTAGGCCAAGCGACAATAGCATTTCCAGAAAGGTGTCGCGCAGAAGCTTGATCTCTGCCTCAGGAAGCTTTGAGGGATAAACGCTGCACAGCTCATGAAAGTTGGTTAAAGAACCAAGGCTTGGTCCATTCACATCGGCTGACTTTGGTAAATCATCGCACACCTCGAAGAACAGCAGCTCTCCGTCCTGTAGTACAAGGTTGACATCGACCTCGGGTCCGTCGCAGTAGGGCTCAATGACGAACTCGGGTCCGTGACGGGAAGCGATAATCGCGCTTACTGCATCCTCAAGAGCGCTACGTGAATCGACACGGTACACCCCTTCAGAACTCCATCCCCCACATGGTTTTATAATCAAAGGATAAGGGAGGTCGTGCTCCTCAGATATCGAGACAGCCTCAGCGAGACTCGATGCGCGATAGGCTTCGTGGCCGGCGAATACACTTGTAAGATACTTGTTTGTCGCAATCCTGAAGCCCTCTGGCGACGCGGTTGGCAGACCTAGAACATTGGCGGCCTCGGCAACATAAGGCCAATAGGTGTCCGCAAAAGTGACGATGCCGTCCACAGGCTTGCCGTATGCCCGCAAAGATGCGAGGATGTGGTCCTTCATATCACTTTTTGGAGGGTTAGTAAGTTGTGTTGGAATGAAAGCCTCACGTATATGGGCGTTATCACGGCTTTCAAGCCAGTGTCCAGCACTATCCAAGACAACCAGACTGATTCCTAGAGCCGCAGCAGCAGTATAGAGCCCAAGTCCATCTTCCGGGTGGGAGCTGTTCGCTTCGACAAGCACGAGAGTTCTCTGACGGGCCGTCTCTGGAATAATCCATGGGAAGGAGAGTCGATTATCAAGCTCTTTGTCCAACTCCCAGGATACAGCCTCCTGTTCAGCCTGGGGCACCGGACGCACAAGTATGCAGGCTGCAGCTGCAGCAAATACTGCTGATAAGCAGATGTCATCCTTGCCAAGGATTACAATAGGGGCCGTTTCACTTTCATAGCGTTGTAGTGGTTTTGTAAAGGATCTGATTTGCTCAACAAGCAAACAATCGTGAAGACGTATATTGATAATATCCGACCGCACTATGTATCCCTTTGCTAGTGGGACGATGAGTTTGATTAATCGCTCTTGGCCTTGGGCCGCCGACGCCAAGAGAGTCTGTACGAAGAATTCGTAAGCGTCTGCTGCGCCAAAGGATTCTGCCTCGAGTCGCCTCGATTTGTCCTGATGAACAACGACAACACGTAGGTTGTTGGTGCTCCTGGAGAGGTTGGCCCCTCCCACCGTGCATACGCCATGAATGTTGGTAAGCGCAATGTCAATAGACTGCCACTGGTAATTTTCGCGGTATGATGTTCGCAGAACTCGCCATGTGTGCTCACTGAGTAAGACTGCTTACATTCAGTTCTAGAGACCAGACCGCGCATGAAACATAACTCTTACCGTGTTGGCTCCATATCTGAATTATGCGAGAGTCTGCCATGGTGAGATGCACTCATCAGATCAAAAGCCGATCTGCAGGCTCCGGAGATGTGGTGTTAACAAAGCGTTAGATCGGATGAAACTGGTGGGGGTATTGATACCACCATCGCGGTGGCGCTGAGGCCCTCTTTATGTAAACAGCCTACGAAACAAAGACATCGAAGACAAAGGGAATAGAGAACAAAGAGACAGGCGTGGCATGTGCTTAGTAAGGCACGGTGACCGAACGTCATTTTATTATTATAATCAGTGCATGGTTATTACAATTTATAACTGTTCGACCGCGAACCACAAGTCAACTAACGAGTCCTTTTCAGCGCTAAATTCTTGAAGCTGGATATAGTGCAGTTTCAAACAAGACAGAACACTTTTCCCCCTATAATTGAGAGCAGAGAGAGGTCTAAATCCGGGAAAAAGAAACTCCAATAGAGGTGACTTATTCAACAACCTATGATAAGCCGAGCCCGCGAAGAAGCTTATGAAGCCGCCAGTAACCGAAGAACGAACACAACTGCTATACACAGACTAATAATAATTATTTTATTTTATTTATTCATCATACTAAGAATATTCTTAACCCTTGATCATTCAATAACTAGTAAATCTTTTGCCTATTCAGAACAGTAGTTCATGTTACCCCCCTTTCATGGTATATATATATATATCTCAATTAGAGAACAAGTATAGACCAATCGATACTGTTTGTAGTAATTATATTTTCCATTCACGCATCTACATCTCTCTCTCAAAGAACACATCTATAGAACATATCTAGTGGAATGGTACCTGAATGTTGAAAGCTAAACTCAACCCTCAGGTCTCCTGGTTCATAGATTAGGGAAGTGAGTCGTGACCTTGTAGTAGCGGGCCGAGCAGTCACGGACTCACGGATCCCGAATTTAAACACCGAACCAACGGACCGAGAATTGGCATTGGAAAAAAGACGGTTCAGGGACCACATAATAATTTACGTCGTTGGCGACATCCTTGCCCTTGACTAAGGCCGCAGCGTGTTCCCACGAAGTCCACCCAGCAGCCTGAGGGTAGACGAAATCGCCTACGCATTGAACGATATGGCAAAACCAACACCCTCGTTATCTCAATATGACCACGAGATGGAAACGATTCCCGGTAATTTGCCTACAACCAAGGCAGGAGCAGACTCGAAGGTTCTCTTGACGAGGCTCTCACAATTCCACCACTCTTCCCGCTCACCCCCCCCAGCGACTTCCGTGACAGAACAACGCGATGGCATACTCAGGGCATGGGCCATGTTGCTTCACTTGTATCTTGTGTCTGACACTGTTGCGTTCGCTGTGGTTGGTATGGGAAGTAAAAAGCTGGCATGCTCGCACTGGCCAGTGTCTGTTCCTCAAGGTTCGACATTCTACCCTGATCCTCGACTGACGTTCACTCCTTTCGAGGCCGACAAGCATCGCAACCAAGTTAATACCGCTGTCGCCTTTGCTGACGTTGACGTTGACGATGGCATATTCAGCTATATTGTGCAATCATCCGAAAGGTTGAGTCGAGATCTACGATTGTACACCCAGCACACATGCGTGCCACGCAAGTTTGCGTCCGCGTTATGGAACACTCTCCTCGAGATACATTCAGATTTGGTGGATTCGGCTTCTTACAAATGGTACAAACAGTCAGTTAGTCAAATAGACAAGAAAACACTACGGTCATTCTTGCCTCATACGTCGTTTGAGCCACGGGTTTCTGTGCACGACCTCTGGCGTGAGTCGGTCCGAACGGCCCCTCTTGCACCAGCCGTGGAATCATGGGATGGTGCCTTGACTTACACAGAGCTGGACGGGCTAGCCTCCAAGCTTGCGCATCTATTGCTATCCAAAGGAGTGCAGAGGGGCGATTTCATCCCCTTCTCATTCGAAAAAAGCATTTGGATGGTAGTCTCTATGCTGGGCATTGTCAAAGCTGGAGCTGCCTTTGTGGCCATTGATCCCTCGCAGCCAAAGGCACGAGCTGAAGAGATCATCGACCGAGTACAGGCAAATATAATCTTGGTCTCACCATTGCAGGCCCCGACATTCGCCGACATGGGTAAAGCCACCCTGACGGTTTGCGCGGATAACCTGACAAGCGAATATGATAAGGCCTCACCTGGCCGATCGCTTCCTCGTGTCAGGCCAGAAGACCCTGCAGTATGTATCTTTACCTCTGGCTCAACTGGGAAGCCCAAGGGAATTATCGTCCAGCATCAAGCACTCGCCACTCGCTTACTGGCAGAGGGCGGAGCCCTTGGGTACCGGGGGTCCAGGTGTTTGCAATTTGCTGCATCTACGTGGGACATATTCATCACCGACGTCTTTGCAACATTGGCGTACCAGAGTTGCATCTGCATACCGAGTGAAGAAGATCGACTATTCAATCTCGCAGAGTTTTGTACCAAATACAAAGTAACCTTGGCGATCATGACCCCTTCATTGGCAAATATGTTGACGCCTACTTCATTCCCCACATTGAAGACACTCATATTCTCAGGGGAAGCCCTGCGAGCTGATGTGGTGGCACGATGGTCATCACAGAGCGGTGTTTCACTCTACCAAGGCTACGGACCTGCAGAAACGGGTGGTTGCATCATTGGACGCCTTGCTCAGCGTGCAGAGGTCCTTGGCCACGGTCTTAAAAATTATACTTGTGTACTTGTGGATCCTCAGAACCATGATCGCTTGGTACCAGTGGGAGCTGTAGGTGAGCTCCTGGTTGCCGGACCAGGCCTGCTTCAGGAATACATCCATGACCCCCCCAAAACGAGTGCGGCCATTGTTGAGCGCCCCTCGTGGTGCTCAGACCTCCAAATTGATGAGCCAAGATTTTATAAGACTGGGGACCTGCTCCGTTATAGTATCGATACGCTCGATGGAAGCCTCGAATTTGTGGGCCGTGCAGACGGTCAAGTGAAGTACCATGGCCAACGCATTGAGGTTGGGGAAGTAGAGTATCACCTTAGTCAATTCCCCAATGTGACCTACTGTATGGTAGGTCTACCCAAAGAAGGGCATTTGAGAGGCCATCTGGTCGCCGTGGTTCAAATCGATGGGCATTCCGGTCCTAATCACTCCAATATGAAGCTCGCGATACATAAAGATGTGGACCGCATTAGAGAGGAAATCAACAAGTTCCTGTTATCACGTCTACCAAAATACATGATTCCAAGCAAACTATTTGTCGTCAGCAACATGCCGTTCAACGCGTCGATGAAACTAGATAGGGCTGCTATCAATAAATGGATCCTGGGCATGCCGGCTGAACATACTACGGTGGCGGATCAATCACTGCCCGCCACAGATGCCACTCAGCTGCTTCCCCATGAACGCACTGCAAGAGCAGTAGCTCAGCTGTATGCCAGTGCTGTTGCAGGAGAGGATGGTCACCACCATCGGCAATTTGAAAATCGAGACTTCAAGCTACAGTCGGGTGGCATTGACTCCGTTCAGATTATGTCACTTTCACTTTCTCTTAAAGATAAATTCGGGGTCCAGATACCAATGGACGAAATGCTAAGCTCGAGGTCAACTATACGCACAATCGCTTCTATTATAGACGCGAGCGGAAGTCACCAAGTATCGAAAGCTGCGACCCAGGAAGAGATCAGTACAGAAAGTAACATAGACCTAATGCTTAGGTCGGTATTCAATTCTTCCGAGAAGCTGTATAACGACTCGGACATACATCATGTGTTCCTCACCGGGCCTTCTGGTTATCTAGGAATAGAGATATTGCGTCAGCTTCTCACACAGTCTACCTGCCAAATCTATGCGCTCGTTCGGGGCTCATCGGAAAACGCTGCTCGTGATTATCTCATACAGAAGGCAGTCACTGCCACATGGTGGAGAGATGAATACCTTTCCAGGCTTGAGATTTGGCTAGGTGATCTATCGCGGCCCCAACTTGGTCTTGATTCGGATCAATGGCGTTTGCTTCAGGGACTAGGTGGACAGGGAATTGATGCAATTATCCACAACGGCGCCAAAGTCCACTATCATATGGACTATGACAGTCTTGAGGCTACAAACGTATCGTCAACCATCCAGTTGCTCAAAGCGGTTAACAACCGTGAAAGGCCACTCCACAGCTTTGTGTTTGTATCTGGTGGGCAACAACTCAGCTTTGACGACAATGACGACGCCGCCAATATACAGAAGGCTCTTCAAGGATCTGGGTACGCACGCTCGAAGGCCATGTCAGAGCTTCTTGTAAAGAGGTTTGCTGATCATACGGAGAAAAAAGCCAAATATGTCCGAGTTGTCAAGCCGGGATTCATCATTGGTGATGCTAAACGAGGTATTGCCAGTAAGAATGACTTCATTTGGAGATACATCGCGGCCTCAATCGAAATCGGCGCCTACGATAAAGAAAGTGCGAATGGATGGCTCTTTTTGGCAGATATTTCCCGGGTATCGGAGACTATTCTTCACTGCGTGTTCGACCTTGAGTGTAAGCCAGTGGTAAAGGTCCTAGATGGCGTTCAGTTTCATAATATCTGGCTGCTTCTACAGGATGAATTTGACTACAATATACGGCCCGTGCTCCAGCAGGAGTGGCTTTCTAAGCTACGTCAAAGTGTTGCCGCTAAGCAAGAGAAACATGTTCTGTTTCCACTTATGCACATGTTTGAAACAGATGGCCAACCGCTCGGTGTGTCCAACGGACCAAGTTGCCCGTCCGATGGTGTTAAAGAAGCTTTGCGAGCGAATATCAAACAGCTGATTGGAAGTGGGTTCTTTATGTTGCCCGGCTTCCTTCCGACTCCCCCGTCCACCGACGAGGAAAGTGTGGAGGGCAGTATGGCACCAGTCCAAGACGCCTTTGATGTGCAAAGCGTACGCAGGCAGTTTCCAGCCCTGCAGGGAGGCATCGTAGCGTTCAACAATGCGGCTGGGACTGCTGTGTATCAGGGTGCCATCGAAAGGACGCATGATTACATGTCTTCGTTTCCCATCGAGGTCGGACTTGATGATCCGCAAAGTCAGAAAAAAACAGAGGGTCTGATGAATAAGACCGCTGAACTAGCGGCATTCATGAATGCAGATTCTGATGAAGTCGGTAAGTTACATTCGCAGGCTGTGCCATGCAGTTGTAGATATCTCTTTGACCAGCAAAGGCAGGCGGCTGACAAGAAAAAAATGTAGCATTTGGCCAATCGACGACGATGCTTCTACGCATTTTGGGCCAGGCACTACGACCGGCGCTGAACTCAGATTGCGAGATGATCGTCTCAAACCTATGCCACGAAGCTAGTGCAGCCGCGTGGATATTCCTTGCCAAAGATCTTGGTATTGCCATTAAATGGTGGGCGCCACCGGCGGGTGATGATCCTTGCCTTTCGCTGGAAACGTTAAAGCCACTTCTGACACCCAACACACGAGTCGTCGCTTGCAATCACGTTTCCAATGTTGTAGGAACCGTTCATCCCATTCGCAAGATTGCAGATGCGGTCCATAGCGTTCCTGGAGCCATCCTGATCGTCGATGGAGTTGCTTGGGCGCCTCACCGTCCGATCGATGTCAAAGCTTTAGATGTTGATTTCTACTGCTTTAGCTGGTATAAGGTCTTTGGCCCACATATAGCACAGCTATACGGCCGGCGAAGTGTTCAGAAACGTATGTTGACTGGGATCAGCCATTTCTTCCTTAGTGATTTCCCAGGACTGGACTGGCGCCTGCGGCTTGGTGCCCCTGCCTTCGAACTTGAGGCGGCTCTCGTAGCCATTACAAGGTACCTTAGCCAAGTCGGCTGGGAGAATATTATTGCACAAGAGACGGTTCTTCAAGAAGCGCTCCTATCCTACCTTCGACGGCACCCAAGCATATTCCGTATTTTTGGAGAGAAGTCATCAAATCCGGAGAAACGGGTGCCGGTAATCACATTCCAGGTGATAGGACGGTCTTCACGAGAGATAATGAACCAGATCAATAGACAAACGCAATTCAGGATAGTGTCAGGCCATTGCTGGGCACCTCGACCGACGCACGACGTGTTGAACCTCGACGAAAACGGCCTAATCAGGGTCAGCTTTGTGCATTATAACACTATCGAGGAGGTGCGACAGTTCTGCGAGGCATTACAAGGGATCCTGAACCTTACAGACGATAGTAGTTGATTGCTTTCACTGTCACGTCTATCATTCCTCATGACCTGGACATACTTCCGTAGAAGCTAATGTCAGATTTGTCGCTAGTAGTGAAACTGAGTCCGAAAACCTGGACATGGTTATTAAATGCTTCGCCATGGGAAAGTTTGACTGGGCAAACCCGAGATTTCGCGCAACTTCGAAATCAATACGCTTGCACTAGAAGAGCTTGAGTATTTAATTAATATCGCTGGCGAAATCTCACAGCGATTGACGTGTATTTCGGGACGTGTAGGTACATGTATATCATCAGAAGATTAATCCAGATTAAAGTCACATTGGTCTAACGCATGGAAGAAATATTACAAGTACCATCGCCACTGTATCCACTTGATTACTCCCTCATTTCTGCTCCGCCGGATACAGTTCATCCTGCAACTGTCCGGCCAGTCCTCCAGCCACCGATACGCCAGACGACATAGCCATTGCGACGACCTTTACAGGAACTGCACAGTCACCTGCAGCAAAGACGCTCGGCACCGAGGTGCTATAAAAGGGCGCCGTAGTTTCGATATCCGCGGTAGGTGTCAGCTGCAGCCCGAGCTGCTTGGCGAAAGGACCATTACTCTCAGTCTTGGGCTTGTGAGTCTAGCAACGATTAGAGACGGATTATGACACAATCATAGGACATGTGCATACCAAAAAGCCCTCGGTAACCTGCGTGCCATCCTGGAACACGATTTGCACATCGGATGCCCCGGGTCCCTTAACCAGCTTGGAAATCTTTCTGTTGTCCACTTTAATCCCTGTCCCACTAGCTGATTCCTTCAGGGCATGAGCGAGCTCCTCAGCCCCATCAGTGTACAACGTCACTGTAGTAGTGAATCGCCTCGCCATGCGAGCAAAGTGCATAGCCACCCTAGGCTCCGCAACATCGCCCACGGCCAGAAGGCCCGCTGAAGCACAGCCGCGCTCTTCGTAGCCGTGGCAGAAAAGACAGTGGAATCTGTCGCAAGGAGTCAGCCAAAGAAGCCATAACACAAACACACACACAGTGGAATAAGTACTCACATGCCAGTCCCCCAACACTCTCTGTATCCGTCGATGTCTGGGAAAACATCACGGACACCATTGGCTAGTACCAGCTTGCGGCCTGTCCAGACACCATCCCGAGCATCGAATGCCTTGAAGTAGCCTTCGGACGTCTTTTGGACGCGCTTAATCTCGAGATCCTCAAATCTGATAGTATCGTAGCGAGCCAGGATACGCTCACGAGCTTCCCGACGGAAGTCTGCAGGGGAGCTATGATCCCATGTAGCCACGTTATGCATGTGGCTCGACAAGGCGTTGCGATAGACACCCGAGTCGAAGACGACTGCGCGGTACAGTTGGCGGGCGAGGCCGGTTGCTACGGACAGGCCAGCTGGGCCGCCGCCGATGATCAGGACGTCGTAGAGAGTCATTATTATATTGCTGTTGATGTTTCTAATGCCAATTGAAGATAGAATGTATGCTTACTGTCGGCTATACAGCTGGCTTAACACGGAGATTTATACGCGAGGATGTCGGAGACTTTTAGCCCTAAGAATGTCTCCGAATAGGCTCCATCGTCGTCTTGGCTAAGCTTCAGACATCTAGACTTCACGCGCCCCCTTTTTCCATATTTGAGATCCACTATCCTTGGTTATTCTTTGACTCATATCCTAGCGACGTGATCACATTTGAGAGAATTATTCAGCCATGTAGCGTCATCATCGTGGAGCGAGCTTGGTATGCGACGACGACTGGCTCGCTTTCTGGTGTTGTTCTATGGCCCGCATAATGCAAAATCATCAGGCTATGGACGATTTCAGACTTGGCATTGAAACTTTCAACAAAGTCGAAAAGGGTTTGTTGGTATGTGATGGTTTAGACTCACTGTGGGGGATGACATGCTCGATAGCTGGTGCCACGCCTAAATTCTTCAACATGTTCTGGAAACGCTCACAGTCTTGAACGGCTTTGGTATCATCCGATTCCCATACAATAGTGACCGAGTACACATTTGTATAGGAGCGACTGCGCTGCGCCGCCGCCGCTGACAGAAACCGCGTACAAGCTTCCTAAGTAGAATAGGAAGCTTATCGCATAAGTCTCTACTGGGCAGGGGGTCGATTTGATCTAGATAAATATGCGGAGTCACCGAGTGGCCCTAACGCTCTCTCAGCGGTTGATTTCAGAATCAGGTAAAGAGAGTACTTGAAGATGGATGGTGCTGGAGGCGGAAGACTTGGGGATAAGACAAAAGAATTGAAGGAAGGCGGAAAATCTGGAAGGTTAATTCACAGAAGGTAGTGAAGAATATTGGATTAGCGAGATATTGCCACATATTGCTTTCCAAACAGTGAATCTGACCTAGGCTATTCCTATTGCCCATTCCAAACTCAGGTAACATGCATTTCAATCAGCCCAAGTCTTCCAATTGGATTTCCACCCATTATTGTGAAATGACCACCCAGCTAGTCCAATATTGAATCTCGATGCCAACTCTACCTGGGGTTGCAATAGCACACAGGCCTTTGTATATGGTATAGTGGTATGACAACGAATCATGTTCCATATCTCTAGCGAGGGGCGACTTAGGTTTGATGTTACTGACAATCTCGAATTCCTAGAATATAAGTCTTTGCTTTTGGATCTTGGTCTAGGCGAACAGATCTTGCTTGAAGATTTCAATAGTGAGACTTCAGCCTACTTAGCACCAATACTAGCTGATTTGTGTTGACTCTCGTGCAGAAGAATATCGTACAGTACACCACCTATCCCCAGGGCTCCTTATGTAAAACAAGTCAGACATTAACTTAGATCACGGATTTACCAAGAAGCGTTTCACGACGGCCCAAGTGACGTTTGCCATGTAATCTTATCTCGTTATATTATAACCATATAGAGCGACATGTCCTTGTTGGTGTGTATATTTGAACCGAAGACTTATAGTGAGACTATAGAATCTAATGCTGTCGCTTCCGATTCATGGCAGTGTAGGGTGCGATATCCTGCTCTGTATTATTGCCATCCCAGTCGGTATAATCAACAATGATCATAACCATAGCCGAGGACAATATGGGCCTGATCAGCCTACCCATAACCGGATTCCATCCAAGTTGCCAAATGTTTAGGGACGTCCCACTGGCCTGGATTTGCCAGAGAGCATGCGAGGAGTTCCTCACATGTTTGTCCATCCGCATTTCTCGCCTTTCTATTGGCGCCTAATGCGGATAGTCTATCTATGGCCTCGACATGGCGGTTTCTAGCCGCCTTATGTAGAGGTGTTTCAAGAAGCAGAGTATCTCTAGGATCCAGCGGGACGCCCCAGGATTTGGCCAGCATCTCAATTCCTAAGATCCACCCTCCAGCAGCGGCCAAATGTAGTGGTGTGACATTCTCGATCATCAGGGACTCTGGATTCGCGCCACTTTTCAGAAGTAGTTCTACCATGTCGATCCTCTGTCTCTCCACCGCAAAGTGAAGAGCTGTTTTTGACTCCGGTTGCATGGTGGCGATATCAAGGAGAGCCCCGTGGCTCACAAGGAGCTCCAGAGTTCCCATTTGCTCATTAGTAACGGCTTCGTGTATTGGTGCCCAGCCCTGTTTTGGTAGAATCCATGTATTAGCAACGAGGCCTGAACGAGGGATGGATCCCAAAAGACGAAGAGAGAGGATAAGACACCTACATGACAGTTTTGTGCATTGATGTCTGCCTTCTTGGACAGTAATAACCTGGCCGTGTCCACATCGCCCCACCAGCATGACTCTTGGAACGCCGTACGCCCAGATGTTGTCCTCGAATTTGGATTTGCACCGTGTCGTAACAGCAGATCGGCAACATCTGTATGCCTTCTATTTGCGGCCCACCAGAGAGGAGTTGCTCCGCTATAAAAGAAAGGATCATGGCCATCACTACGGCCACTCAGGCTCCAGCCCTTTGCTGATACGCTAGCTCCCTCGTCAAGCAGCGCCTTTGCAACATCGTATTTGCCCCACTCGGCCGCGTATGAGAGTGCCGTGCGGCCTTTTTGGTCCCTTGAATCTACCTGGATATACTGGAGAGCAGCTTTGAGAAGAAAGATAGAGCCGCTTGACACAACGGTTTTTAACTCCTGGGCTGCGTCATGGTCAGAGCGTGCAGGGGGTGCTGTCGCTGTTGTCGTGGTTTCAGAGGTTTGCGACTGGTTATCATCCAGCCTCAAGCCGACAACAGAGACAGCGTAATCGTTCAGCACAGAACCAAGATCAGCGTTGAATTCGTAGCCTTCTTGGAGCACCCTTGTGCCGTTTGCTTGGGGGTGCAGTTTCAATGTGAGGAGGCTACTCAGAGTTAGCCAGCTAGGCATCTGACACAGTAAGGAAAGAAAAGAGAATAGGGTGCTTGTGCATATGGCATACAGTGTTATACTACCCATAGCATCACTAAAGGTCGACTTTGCTCTCTCGAGTTCAGCCAGCAAGCCAAAAATTTCCTTTCGTTTGAAATGCCATAGAACATACGTGCGGCTAAATCGCGGCCGTTGAATTTGAGGATCATCACTTTTTCCCGCTGAATCTGGGCTCTGTGCTGAGCCGACCTTCTTGAGATATGGACTTGTCTTATCCTTGACGAGTCTGAGAGCAGACTGACAGTTTTTTATGGGGGCCGCGAGCGTCCACAGTGCGTTGCTAACCTCAGGGTCCTCGTCTACAACATTCCGCACCGCATCGCTGCCTAAAGCCCCCTCTAAATTGAGAATCAGCGGTTTTAACGCATTGACATCATTGCTGATGGCTGTGATTTCTCGAGGAGCATCTCGGATGGCAGAGCAGAAATTGTAGACCTCGAGTGCGGTTTGCCCAGCCATCTGGGCCAGCTGCAGGATTGCTGCAGCTGCACTGACCCCATCCATTATCAATAAGTAGATCTACTAAGTTTTGGGGAGGTGCAAAGTTATCCAGGGAGCTAGGGTGTGAAGTTATAGCTTAGTACACAGGAAGTGAGGGGCTGAGCGTGGGGGCTGGAGATGTGGCTTAGCGGGACTATATGTTGATCCTTACACAGCCTCAATCCACGATGAACCCTAGGTAAAAGTGACATGATGGCACTGTATTGATAATGCCAAAGAGTGTCCGCTCCAAAGGAAGGATCTATGCGGTTCCTTGCCCGGCTGCATTTGAATGATTGATAATACTACCCACCGAACCCAGTGCCATTCTTGTCGTTCTTCTATCGTAAATCTCTCTGCGATTAATCTGGATCTCGGTCTTATTTAGCCAAGCATTTGTTCTCGATATAATACCCTGAATGTGGAATCATAAGAAAGCTATGTCAATTCATGGTGGAGATATGCGTGCTAGAAGCAACTCAAAGGCTAGTATAGGCCTAGATTATGATGGGAATAACCCAACCCGGAGCTGGGTCGGGTGCGGGTTGTAGCGGGTCCTAGATTTTCAACCCAAACCCGACCCGCTAACTACTCTCTGGACCGCCGACGATCAGACTCAACGCCTTCAGTAAGAAGATGATGCATACGGCCATACTCTCTTGATAAACAGACAATTTCCTGGCTGCGTTACTTGACTGACATGGCACTATAGTTTCCACCTAGTCAGGATTGCCGGATCCGACATGCTAGCCTCAAAGATTGGAGAAGGTGCATTATCGCCTTTTCAATGGAACAGGGATCATCTGGAGACTGCGTTACATCGCGCACAAACTGTATATGCGTGGTTCCCAGTCTAGCTTCATACACCCTTGTCAGTATTTAGGTACTGAACGACTTATAAGCCCCGCCCTCCGCCCAGGTCGCGTTCGTCGACACCTTTTTATACTCGATCTCCTACTCCTCCTCTCTAACCTCCTCGAACCCTCTTTCCCTCTCTCTCCCAGACATGTTGTTGCCGCTAGCTCTGATGATACTGTCATGGCTAGTCAGTGTTGAAATCCAACCCAGCTCTGTCCAAGACTGACCTAAACCGTTTAGAATCAGTACTCGTACACCATGCTGATCGGAACACTATCCATGATTGAAGGGCCACACGGCCAACCCTCAACTGAAGGAAATGCGACGTATATCACGAGCTCTCTTCGCAACACCATTAACCACCTACGTACCCACGTCGGCAACTCGTTCTACCTCCGAGGGTTCGCCCTCGTCCTCGTCCACGACATAGCCCGAGATACCATCCTGCCAGCTCTCCTACCAATGAATGGCAACTCGCCGCTCAACCGACACATCTGCTCCCTAATCTCCGTGGCGGCTTTGGCAAATTTACAAGTTCTCTGGGTCCACATTGTCATCACCCGGCCATCACCAAAGTTTCTTTACCAACGCCTTCCCAGTCTGAACTGCTGGGTCCGAGTGATCCCTATAGCCTTGCTTGAGTCTATATTGTGCAAGCTAGCAGTTCCAATCACGCTACTCGTTGAACTCCATCTGATACAGGCTGTGGGAAAGATAGACATTGACCAGAACCTGGATAATAGCCAGGCAGCAGCTCACGTCTATGCGCTCGCGGCTGTCGCTCCCACATTAGTGAAATTTTGGCTTGCTCTTCCTGCTCGAGTTGTATTGGTTCGGATCGCAGCATCGACAGTACCAGACGATGATGAATCGATTGTTCCGCTTGATCCACGGCTCAAAGGTGGTGGTACTCCGCTGGGCATGTTCGATGCATGGAGGAAAGACTCGTGGGCGCGTGCTTGTAAAATTCAGACCAAAGGCTTTATTGCAGGGGTTGCTATTTTCCTTTTAGGGCAACTGGTTCTTCCTGACTTCCGGAGTTATGTTCCTTTTCTGCCGATGTGGTTTGATAGTTGATCAATTTGATCGTTTGCGTGTGTCTAATTTTGTATAAGTGGAGAGGCATGAAGGAGTTGACTTTGATAAGCTTGTTGCGATTTGTTGCAAACCGAGGCTTGAATGAATACGCTAAAGCCACCAACTTGGGCTAGAGGGGTCCAGAAGCATACAGTGGCATGTGTGAAGGGTTACTCCCCGAACCTGATGGAGAACGTTCAGTTTTGTGTGGATGCCGAAGCTGATCGCGCAGCCCTACACGAGGTGCATCCGTTGCATTTGGAGACGTGATCGAAGATGACGCAAAGCACCCAGTGATTTCTTCTTTAGACTACAAGATCCTGTCCTGTCCTGCCAGTTCATAAGAGACTGGGATCAGTACCCTGAACTGCGATCGGCATTGATCTACTCTGTTACCCCATCAATCTCCCTGGAGCCTCTCGATATAACCTTAATGTCTTGCCCGATGATCCTGTTTCTCAACACTCACCGTCACATCGACCGTCCTCAGCACACCCTCCTTCCCCTGCAAATCTTGCGTCAAATGCCTTGTGCTCTCCGCCCCTTCACTAGAACTAGACTGCCTGTCTCCCTGATCTCCACCCGTTGAAACCTCCGTGATAACAACTCCATCCGTATCCCGCCCATCGAACATCGACCGCCCGTTCTTCCTCCAGCGACCGCGCGACCGAGGCCGCGACTGCGACTGACTGGCCCAAGAGGAAGACTGATTGATATACCCGCTTGCCTTGGTCTGCGGAAGTTCAAGGTCGATCCCATTGGGGATTTGTGTTGTGGTTAAGCCCGAGTGCAGGCCGGCGAAGATATGGTACAGGGTTGGGACGCAGGCGGCTATAACGGCTGTGAGCATCATTGCTTGGCCGGTTATTTCCCAGTTCACAATGTCCCCTATATAGATACTGGTCAGTATTTGCTTTTTCGTTTCTGTTTTCTGTTCTTTTGTTTGTGTGGTATTTGGAATAGGAATGGGGTGTCACAAACAGGAGACGTCAGTAGAGTGGCTGAAGGAGGGGAGGAGGGCGAGGTGGGCAATTCCGAGGGCGACGACGCTGTGAGGAATGGTTAACAAGCTGTTTAAATCTGTGGTAAAATGTTACAGTTCGTGATGGGTACCTTAGGCGCGCGGAGAAGGAGGACAGGATCTTCACTCGCTTGTGCCAGACCATCTGGACCTTGTGCATCATTATGAAGGGCAGGGCGACGATGATAGCCTCCGTGAGGATATTGAATCCTGCGATCGGGTAGAATATGGCACCCTGGTGCAGGTTCAGCGGGCTTTGAAGCCAATCCTAGAGACGGTTTGGGTGTATACTGACCTCCCCAGCACATCGCTCAGGCGAGTACAACCACGGACCAGGCATCTCACATTGGAATGCAATACCGAACACCGCGAAGATTGACCAGCCCACGACAATACCAGCGGCAATAGCACAGCTGCGACGCAGGCTTTTACTCGGCGTTAACTTCCAAATCAGCAAAATGGTCGACATCTTGGAAAGCGACAAGGCGACGATCAGCAGAAGATGCGCAGCATAGGCGAACTTGCTCCAGGCCTGGATGTCGCCATCACTAAGCCGGTCTTGGTGTTTTCCCAGTCCATGATCAACCGCCTTCTGTAAGAGAACGACTTGGATGACTGCAAAAATCAAAGCCGCCCAAATGGGAGTATTGACCGCGGTCCGTCGCTGCTTGAAGTAGATCGCAGACCCGAACTTGGCGGCCACGAAGATGATGGCCACGATCAGGAGCGAGACAGAGGTCAAGGTGATGATAGCACCACGATTCTCACTGGACAGGACCTGGAAGGCGTCCTTTTGGTCGGCCATCGCCCCATGAGATAGTCTTCAAGTTTGAGACATACTCGGGGAGAATCGTGGCACCATATAATAGAAGCCGATTTTGTACATCCCTGTCACTTCTAACTTTTGCTCTGTTAGGAATTTACGACGACTAGCCATTGGTATGGCACCACCCCATCTCGTCTGTGTAGGGAATCCAATATGCGAATTATTGACTTCATCGGCTAAATTAGAAATAATACGAGATTTTCCGACAATAATAATGTGCCAGTGGTCCAGAATCAATTTAAAAGGGGAACCCAGCGCCACTAGAAAGGCACCGGCTCCACACTAAAGAATGCTCGAGCCTAGCAGCCAACGAGACAAGTCCACGGACGGACCGTGCCATCCATCTCTGGGGGTTTTAGATGCAGCCCTAACTGCCACTAGCCACGCGAACAACCGGGGTGTGCGCCGAAGCGACATGACTGTTTTCACGCCGCGTACCAGGTCGCAGCCCGGTCTCACGACGATTCGTTTCGCTTTCATTATGCAATCAATATCCCTGTCTAGCCTGTAGAATGGAAATGAGAAGGCAAAGAAAGTCGGAAGTTATTTCTTGCCGTCTTCTGGGACTGGCCTATTCCTCGTCGACGTTTCTTTTCTCACCTTTTACCTTTCTTTTTGTTCTGCCTATGTGAAAGAAATTGCTCATTCGTTCTTCGAAATGCAGGAAGAGATAGAAATGAAGAGCGAGGGCGCTGTGCGATCATGGCCAGTAGGAAGTGGGAATGGGGGCTATCAGAGCGCTACAATGCGCGAGAAGCAACAATTGGAGGTACAGTCGCACGGCCTAGTTGGTCTGCACAGCATCTAATAGTTTCACAGCGATATCTCAATTTTTTCTCCTCCGTTGCCTTTTCCGCCTGTCTACTTGCTACATGGGAATCTGCCGGTGGTAGTTTGCTCTCAGGCTTATACAACGGTGGCCCCGCAGCGATTGTCTATGGCATCATATTGAGCACCATCGGCAACCTGGCTATCGCTTGCTCTCTGGCCGAGCTTGCTTCTCTGTATGTGCGTGAGCCACTTCACATGGGATGGCGCTGACTTCGAGCCTGACAAGACACCCCACTGCCGGTGCTCAATATCACTGGAGTTACTTCCTCGCACCTCGCGGTCGTCGATTTATTAGTTTTTTCCAGGGTGAGCTTACAGGTGTATTATTCTTTCTTTCGTTCAGACAATTGCTGATGGCTATCAGGTTGGGTGACCGTCTTCTCATGGTCTGCTCTCGTGTGCATCGCCCCATATTTCATCGGAACCCAAATCCAGGGAATGGTTGTGCTGGCGCATCCTGACTATGAGCTTGTCAGATGGCGCGGTACGCTGCTTATGTGGGCCGTTGCGATCATTCCGATCATTATCAATATCTTCGCGCGTCGTGTTCTGGGGGCTATTGAAGTCGCTGCGGGAATCATGCACGTTGTCTTCTTGCCCGTCACCATTGCAGTCTTCGTTATTCTCGCTCCGCGAAACCCAGACTCGTTTGTATGGAACACCTTTGTCGGTGGCCTGAGTGGCTGGAAGGATTCGGGGGTTGTCTTCTCCATCGGTCTTCTTGGTGTCATTACTCCCCTAGCCGGTACGATCCTGCCTATTGTCTTCACTGCTTGGTCATACTGATAGTCTAGTATCAATGTAAACAGGCGTCGATGGTGTCATCCACATGGCTGAAGAAGTCAAAAACGCCAAAGTCGTCGTCCCCCGCTCCATGATCTATGGCACCATGATCAATGGCACTCTTGCCTTCGCCTACCTCATCGCAGTCCTCTACTGCATGGGCGACTACACCGAGGCCGTCCTCAGCCCCACCGGCTACCCCATCATCACAATTGCCTACCAAGCCACCGGCTCAAAAGCTGCAACCTTCGTGCTGATGGCGATGGGCATGCTGCCCGGCTGGATCGCCCTCTTCAACGGACTCGCCTCCGTAACCCGCCTGACCTGGGCCTTCGCGCGCGATAACGGCCTCCCCTTCTCCGACTTCTTCGCGCGCGTCGACCCAACCTACAAAATCCCCCTCCGCGCTCTCTTCCTCGTCGTCTCGTGCATCTTCGCCCTCTCCTTTATCCAAATCGGCTCCACGGCTGCATTCAATGCAATCCTCTCTCTCAGCACCCTGGGCCTCTACATCTCCTACCTGATCCCCCTCATCCTCCTCGTGTTCAAGCGTTTCGCCGCGCCCCAGGATATCCCACAGGGCACCTTTACGCTAGGCAAATGGGGTCTCCCCATGAACTTGCTTGCCATTCTCTTCGCTACATATTTTGTTATCTTTCTGCCGTTTCCATCGACCCTGCCGGTTACAGCAGAGAATATGAATTACGCGGGGCCCGTGCTGGGCTTTGTTATGTTGTTTGCTTGTGGGGATTGGATTGTCCGGGGCCGGCATAAGTGGGAGGGCCCGACTATGCGGCCGTATGCGAGGGACGAGTAGATTATAAAATAGGAACAGTGGGAGTGGAGGGTTCAGGTGGAAAAGTGAGTGGAAGGATTGAGATACTATACTGTTTTTGTTACCGGCTTTTATTGCTAAGGGGGTAGTAGCTAGTTTACTGCTATATAACTAAATACTATACCATTGTTTTGTCTTTTGTTTTGGTAGGGTTAAATTTACTCGATAGTGGGACTGGTTGTAAGACACAAAGCAGGTGGAGATCTAAGTACGGCTAAGTACAGCGGACGGGCAGCCCTATCCTCCTCCACACCCTACGGCCGTATGTACGAGTTTTGTAGTCGTAGAGCACTACCTCGGAGACACAAGAAGTGAAGGGAAAAGTGTCGAGAGGGTTAGCTTGAATTGTTCAGTTGGTGACAGGGCATCTAGAGCAAAACAAACTTGCTGATAAAAGTGAGTCTCGTCAACTGCAACCGTATCCATACAGAATCGGCCAATGCGCATATATATATATATAGCTTATGACACCAGTTCTAATAGCTACGCAAATCCCACATTGGACCTTCCCAGTAACTCGCGTGGATGACCTGTGTCGATAATATCAAACTCCTATGAAAGAAGAAAGAGGTGAAAGCGAATCGGCGACAGGCGAATTCCATATAGCATTGTCACAGTCCAATCACATCCACGATGAAGTGCCCCTGGTTGCAATAAACGGGGTGGAAATAACAAAGTGCATTAAGGGAGGAGCCTAGGTCTGTAGATTCTTAATCTCCCTAGAAATACTCTTTTTTGTTATCACCGTCGACAGAATACTATCTAGCGTCATACAATCATTAAATAGATTTTAACAGTATTCTAGGAATATTTTCTGCTGAGTACTAGAGCTTGAACTCGGACCCAACCCGATGCCACCTTGAAGCATATGATATCCTGAATACCCCTCAATGTTGGTTGCCATGGTTGTGGAAATTCGATTGGTCTCTGCGAAAGAATGCGTGGCGGGGACTAGAAGGGCAGTTTTTTAAACACCTGTAAAGCAACTTGGGGTTGAAATAGAGTGATGGATGTGGGTTGGCCGAAGCATAAAGTTATCTCTATCTTGGTCTGTGATAGGGCTCAAATCCCCAAGCGATGGGTGAGTTGGGTAGCAATATAACAGAACAAATAGGCCATGGGTAAGAAGAGGATCAGGATTACGAGCCCATTCTCGAGATCGAACTGTGAGAGGAATCTAGTCATGACTTTCGTAAGATTTACATCCATGATGAATGATCAGGCAAGACAGATATTCTAGGAACTCCGAGCCCGTGGAGCCTCTAGTCGACTGGTTTAGTATGGGCTACATGAACAACATTCGACTATTTGGATAGCAGTCATCAAATCGGTCATGTGTAAGAAAATGGCTTTCCCTGATCAATGGCAAAGTACTCTTAGCGCTGCTGGTCCCACGCTCTGGTGCCTAAGACGTCCCTCAAAGCGAGCATACTGACAGCTCGAGCAACCCTTGGCGTCACAGCCCTCTGTCTGCCTTATCCCTCTATAAAACACCTCGATTCTACTAAGCTGCTCGGTCTTTTGTAAACCTCAATTCTTTAATTAACAGGAACCAGCCTACGTCAGTTATCATCGGTGCGTCTCTGTTACAGCGGCAGCACTTGATTACCAAGAGAAATGACGTCCCATGCTTTCTCTGATCGCCGGTTGGTCTTTCGTTGGCTTTTAGCGTATCTCGTGGAGTTTACTTTGGTGACTTTCTCAGGGGTCAAACTGACGATGACGGCTGCTCTCAATTGCGCTAATTTTACATAGAAGGTGTTCCCCGCGTCGATCAGCGCTCTGCCGTGACCACTGCCGAGGGGTTCAATGTGCAGTGGGCCCAGAGCCCCGAAAATATACGTACCGGTCTCTGTCTGATCATCATCTGCCTATACCCCACGCACAGAATGTCCACGAGAAGCTTGAGCTGCGCCTTCACATGGGCTTGTCCTAATTAAGCTTTCCGAGGTCTCTTTGGCTGATCTCTCCGCACTTTCCTTCCCGTGTTTATGATAACCATGATTCTCAACCATACCAATCCAGCACTATCACCACAACCGTGACTATCCTAATCTACGCTAGAGTAGCGCGGGTCTTAAGTGCCTAGTGGAGCCAAACCAAGCAAGCTTATAAGACTTTGTTGGACTTAGTGTGGCATATCTGCCAATAACAATGGCTTCCCGCGCAGATCGAACCCTGAAGCCAACATAATCACACGCCGTCCCCTCGGCCTTAGCGCACACTATGGCTGCTTCAGGAGAACAATGCGATTCTCAACATGGCAACCCTGAGGGTTCGCAAACTACTGTTAGAATGCGCTTGGCCCTTCTGCGAGCGGGGAATGCGGCTATCCTGACAGGTATATGAATGGGTACAGTACTTCTATGGCAGTCCTTACCCGACCTCTGTTCTTTGTGTTCTGGGGTTGATCAAGGCAACCGGTGAAATCAACATGAAGGGTTCATTTCTACTGTTGCATGCCCTGGTGGCGGCCGTTGGGTCAATTCCAACACGCACTGACTATGTCCTCCACGAACGTCGCGATGCT